CTCCAATGATTCTCACCTGCTCTGTTCTATCTGTTTCCTGCAGAGCGCCCCCCCGCAGATCTCAGCGCGCGGCCGCTCAGACGATCTCTCCACCATCCTGTCCGTCATCGACGACGCCCACACATTCATTCACATCTCCGTCATGGACTACCTTCCTCTGTCCCAGTTCTCAGAGCCACTCAGGTGACGTTACCCTCAACTCAACAATCCCAGACAGGACACCAATAGATTCCTAGATCTAGTAAATCTCCATCTCAATAATTGGTGCAGGAATGAGTCCTAAAACCCAAAAATGAGTTAGCATGTTAACACTTGTGGACACCTGAAATAAGCTCTTTGGTTAACACAAGCTTAATCAAGTTTCACGTTTTGTTCTATAACATAAAATAAGTTAGTAAATACTCCACTGTCAATGTCCAAAGTCTTTGTGTGTCATAAAACGGTTGCCAATAAGTGGCTAAATGAGACAACTAAACGTCATCACGCCAATCATTATCCGCCTTTAGCTTAGTGGTGTTGTTGTGTAGTTTGTTTTTAGCCTAACGTTAGCTTTTGACTTCTAGCATTAGCATTTAGGCATCAACTTCTATAAAAGTGGTGTTAGCCACAGATTACAGTATTTCTTTTCGCTATGAGCTCAAATCCAATGGAAAATTCCCATTGACTTCTTGCCGAAGAAGCCCCTGCGATGCTAACTTCCTGTTCGTCCTTTAAATAAAAAAAAAAAGACATCACTGCACCACTCTATATGTTGAGTTACTTAAATAAAGATTCAGGTATGACAGTAACAAAGAATGCAATCCATGAAACTTTGTAAAGATTAGTTAAGAGTATTTAATGAATCAACAGTCACAACACTGGACCCTGATTGGCTGACGGAGCAGCTACTGATTTAGTAGTAGTGACTGCTTTTCATTTTTGTTTACTTAGTTGTGTTCTCTGTATTTTATGTCTGTTATGTGTACAAATGTGTAACGTTGCTGCCTTCTTGGCCAGGTCAGCATTGAAAATGAGATTTTATCTCAATGCTTTTTATCTGGTTAAATAAAGGTTAGATAAATACTTTTTTTTTAAAGCTTTCTAGTTCAAAGGCATTATAGAATAGAATCCTTTATTGTCATTATACAGGTACAATGAGATCCTTTCCTCTCCTTGGGTGTAGCCCACTAGCACCACAGACTGTTTGATATCGACAGTGTTTATCAAAGTGTGTGTTGTCCTCCCTCTCTCAGGTTCTGGCCGGCCATCGACTCGGCGCTGCGCTCGGCGGCGTGCACCAGAGGCGTGCAGGTCCACCTGCTGGTCAGCTGCTGGAAGCACTCCCCCTCCGCCATGTTCCCCTTCCTGCAGTCCCTGCTGCTGCTCAACAGGCCCCCAGTCAAATGCAACGTTGACATGGTGGGTTGAGTTGTCCTACATAATGACGCAGCCCTTAACAGAACGTGATGTATGTTAAACTTCTGCTGTTTGGTTTCCGTGCAGAAAATCTTCACAGTGCCTTCTACAGCGAAGCAGATGAAGATCCCCTTCGCACGAGTCAATCACGCCAAGTACATGGTTACTGACAGAGTGGTGTATATAGGTACGATGTTAACACTTGTTAAATATGGCATAGTATATAGGAGATGCTGTGAATTCCTTTTTTTTCTGTAGTTTTAAGATGTTTACGGTGGTTTCACTTAACGTTACTTTATACTTCTACTCCACCTTAATTATATGAAAATACAAACTATTTATTTCACAGACAATATTTCATTCAAATAAATATATAATTTGCTTCTAAAACATGATGCTTGGATCAGAGCAGGGTTATTGTTGCAAACGGAATCAAGCAGTGACATTTTTTTTTCCTAAACTCCTGCTGCTTGAACTCAACTTAAAAGTTAGAAATATAAATGAATACAGATACAGACAGTAAACAACATACACTAATTGAATACAAATGAAATCCTTCTTAGAACATTTTCACTAAACTAAAACAAAACTGACATTTAAGTCAAAAATAAAAGTATAAAACTGTCATTTAAAATGAAAAACTATTATAACCTTGGTTCAGAAAGAAAAACCCTAACTCATGCCAAGTCATTTAACTTTTATTTTTGAAGTATTTCCAGTGTTGTAGGTTTATTTTAACCTGTTTTCAATGCTTCTCTCCCAAAAAATATACTTTTAAATATGATTTTATTTATTTTACAGAAGCTGGGAACAAATGAGTGTTAGTAGTTCCTGTGACCGCCATGCTTACTGATGTGTCTGTTTGTGTCCCCAGGCACCTCTAACTGGTCGGAGGACTACTTCACGCAGACGGCGGGGGTCGGCCTGGTGGTGAACCAGACGGGCTCCGAGGTGAAGGAGGGGCAGGAGACGCTCCAAGCGCAGGCGGAGGAGCTGTTCCTCAGAGACTGGCTGTCAGACTACGCCCGCCCTCTCTATGTGGACGACCTGGACGTCTGCCGGCACTGACGCTGTGTCCTCTAATAAAGCACATCGCATCTCGCCTGCTCCTGCTGCTTGAACTTTATGAAGAATCCTCTAGCTGTACCGCGGGAATGAACTCTTATTTTATTTCGCAACTTGCTGCCTAATTTTTGTATATAGTTGCATTTTTTTATATTTGAAGACGTGTTATGTTGTATATTGCGCTGATGGTTCTCGCTTTGTACACTTTATTTCATGCCTGGAGCATTCTGTATATTATCCTTCTTAAAATGCGGGTGCCAAGCTTTAGTAATCCTATGCAGGGTATATAGAGATGCATACAAAAACGGCCATGTTAACGCTATTTGAGCTGTTAATGATTATGTGTAAGCCTTAATTAGTAAATTCTTGTAAATACTGTCTTTTTCAGTTAGTTGAATATGTAAGAACCAAACAGAAAATAGTTTACTTAAATAAGAGAGCATTCTTAGTTCTTTTGACGCTTTTTCTGGTCTGTTGAAAATGCCTGTTTACTTCATCACCAGGGTCATTGTATTACGCTTCAAATCCTGTTTGTGTTCCTGACTCAGCAGCTTACTGGATTTTCAGTCTAAATAAAACCTCCTTGGTTGGAATTGGAGAGCTTCAATATGCTTTCTCGAATATAATGGAACTAGATGGAAATCTGCTTGTGGTGCCAAAAGTGCAGACATTTTGTTTGAAAAACGCAATGTATCCTGCCAGAAATAATTATCTGGTCATTCAAGATTGTCCACAGATATGCTTGTGATTAATTAACTGAGTGTAGAGCCATGCTAGCAGCCATGAGACACTGTACTTAAAGAGGACACAGTATTGGATATACCCTTCAGTCCATATTGGGTGATAAAACCTCCATGAGCACACACTTGGAGAAACTAAGTTGTTGGACACTGGTTCCTCTAAATATATGGTTTAAAGAATGCAAAAACCTAAAACTGGAAAAAGCGCAAGGCTATTAAAATGGGTATCATTTGACAACAATTTTAAGCCAGCTCAGTTGGATTGGAGATTTAAAAAAATGGATCCAGAGAGGCATTACAACGTATTCCCTAATTGCTACTCATTCCGGCTGGGAAAGCTTCCAACGTCTGACTGTAACCCACAATTTAGATAAACAGGATTTCTACAGATACTTACCCCCTAATCCCACCAGGAGCGTCTGCGGCGTTTTTAGCGATCGCGGCCACTCTAGTCAATGGGTGCTAAATCCACCAGACGCGCTGCGCCGCGGCTCGAAGCGTCCCAGAAGCTCCTCGCCGCAAGGAATTTCTAAAATATAGGATGAATCCTATTTTTGACGCGGCGCAGCGCGGCGCAGGCAGGAAGTGGAACGTTCATCCAACAACACGACGCTCCGCTTCCGCAACGTTTTGAAAACGCGCCTGGTGAGTTATGACGCAGGAGGAGGCCGCAGCGCAGACGCTTCCGGTGGGATCAGGGGGTTACAGTTTAGGCATCAATTTAATAACAATATTAAGATTACTGAAAGCAACGGTCCGAACTTGATTGACCTTTTTATCGGTGCATACAAAGGTAGCACTCAGAAGGAACTGGTGTCTAGGATATACTCCTGTGTACAACTTTACAAGAATCACTCTACTTTATATGTTAAAGCCAAATGGGAGGTTGAGGCAGATATAACTTTAACGGGAAGACTGGTCAAACATTTGGAGAATACAATCCTCTACCTCCAGCTCCGGCCAATGGAGAGAATTTGCATGGAAGAATATAATCAGATTTGTTCTCGCTCCAAAGAGAATATATCATCAGAATAGCAGACCAGAATCAGGACATTGCTGGAGGCAATGTGATAATATAATGGGTCACTTCCACATATTTTGGAGTTGTCCAAAAGATCCAACCCTTCTGGCTGGAAATCATAACAGAAATAAACTCAATATTGGGCTTTGAGATGGATAATAGCTTTGGCACAATATATTTAGGTAATATACCACCTGATTTAACGTGAGGGACAAGTACCACAATACCTCCTTAAAATATTAATTGTTGCCTGCAAAAAAGAAATAACAAAAAAATGGCTTGTGAATGAGCCCCCAACTAAAGGACAATGGATAGTGATTGTAGGGGCATATTCGATATGGAGAAAATGACCTTCTCCTTAAGACTTTGTAGTGGAACATTTGACCAATACTGGGCTAAATGGGTTTCACATATGGAGGATATTCCCCAACTGCAATAATTCTTTTTTTGGTTTTGTTTATTTTGATTCTGATTTTGTGTAAATAGGACACAATTCTGCTGTATATGTAACTTTCCCCCGTTTTACCTTATATAACTGCATTGCTTGTCTCACCCACCCTGGTTCCACATGTGTGTCTCCTAGAGCAGGGGTTCCCATGACTCCTGTTGGAAGTCTAAATATTATATATATATAATATTTGGCCTCAAATCATCTGAGGCCTAGCGCACCCCCTGCGATCTTTGGCGCGCCCCCCAGGTTGGGAACCACTGCTCTAGGGGGGTCCGGGTAAGCCCCCCCAGAAGATTGTGTTAATCCAAGCATTTGCTGACTCAGCTGCTGTTAGTTTGTGTGCCATTTTATTTTCACATTTCAAAATGTTTACTTTACTATGCAGTTGATGCAAAACATTTAATAGAAGTAACAAAAAACAATGGAAACCAACTACAACCTATGTTAGTTTAAAATAATCTCTAATGTGCAAAAGAAAAACATATGTTTTTTATAAATCTCATGCGATACAGAAAGTATCTTTATTAAATCTGCTTCAGTTACAGGTTCATCATTCGTCAATCAAGGTTAGAGTCTCTGCTGCTTCTTCATAAACCCAGATGTGCCTTCTCAATGCCTAACACACGGAAAGGAGACAACAGAAGGGGAATGAAGACACTTGAGGAAAAGGAGCAAACCAGAAGCCATCAGAATGGCAGTAGCAGCCGCTTTTCAGCCATCTCTGATCATGTCAGTCATCGAAATCCTTTCCTATTAACGCCCCCGAGGGCTCGCAGACGCAGGAGTGTTTACTCTGACAGAAAGCGATGAGTCTCTTCCTGATATCATTCCATGGAGAGCTGCACACTGTCCGTCTGGCCTTGCTGCTGATCAAATTTTCTAGCTAAAAGACAAGACAGAAAACATTTAAATGAACGTCCAGATAACCCAAAATGTCAACATGATCCAATTAAACCTCAGAAAAGTCAGTAATAGGGTGTTAACAGGACCGCATTGACACATGAACCGATAACAATTGGGTTGAAATCCTTATCTGTTATGGATTTTGTCCTGCAGATCTACCCTGATGCTTACCCATAGAGTACATCTCCAGTTGCTGCCGCAGGCGGACCTTCTGCAGGCTGTCGTAGAAGTTTGGCTCCGGGCTGCTGCCAACGGTGGGAGGCAGGGCGAAGATACGCATGATCTTCCTCTTGTTTCTGAGTGTCAGTGAGAAAGCATGAGAATGCATAATGCTCATCCAGATTAACATTATTTCTTTTCTGACAGAAGTTGAAATTGAATTAAAAATACATTATGTTTGGAGGATTATATGAAAGCCGAATTCACCAGAAGACAGCAGTACATATTTGCAGTAGGCTACTAAGCTGTGTCACATAATGCAAGTGTATTTAAATGTTACCAAGGAATTACATTCAATTACCAAAACGGTCAACGGTGTACATTTGAATATTTTGAGATATAAGATGCAAACGGAGAACTCTGTGACTTATAATCAAACCATTTATTTTCTAATGCTCAATGGAGTCTGGTGTACATTTGAACAGGAGCTCTAACAAGCCGTTTAGGACAGAGAGTGAATACACATACTATACAGAGATACTGTGTGAGAAAGCAATGTGAGTTTGGAAAATTGCACAGTATAAATGTATTTTAGTATACCTCAACAATGGAATTATGATCAGTAGAAATGGGACCTTTAAGACGTGAAGGGAGACTGCTCTGACTTAAACATAATATCACCATTTATTTCTGACAGTACCAGTGGCGGCGCCAGAGTATTTTTGTTGGGTAATCTGTGGTAGGGCTAACCCATACAGTGGTGGGGCTCAAGTCAGTATTTGCAATGTAATTACATACACGCTATATCGCCCCCTTGACAGTGAAACGCCACGCGTGAGGTTTAGATTATTTCCCTGTCTCAATCCAAATTGAACTGTATGAAATACAAAGGCACATTTGTCTTGTAGTAAATAAAAAGGGCGACCTGGAGCCAATCCTGCAATTTACCCACAGGTGAAAGAGTTGGCATGCTGAAAACCCAACCCCTGCAGGGGGGTCTGGGGGGATCCTCCCGCAGGAGATTTTTTGAACTACTAACATAAAATACACATTCTGGTACTCTCTTGAGAAGAAAAATAAATAAATCTATTACAACACGACATATTTTTAAAAAAAAATGAATGCCATTTTTGTTTTTTTGTTCTGAAAGCTGAACCTGCTGCTCCTCACAGAGAGAAGAGGGGAGAGGCTGAGAATTACTTTACATTGTGGATAAGGGTGGATAGTCCCCATTGTTCTGTGTGTCAAAATGAACAGCACACACACCTATCAATAATCAAACCATGGGGTCTTATTTCATTACGTGTTGATTTCTATCAACACGTAATGTTGTATCGATGTAAATAGAGTGGCGAAGTCACGCCCATCAACTTCTGGTCCATGGGACCTTATTTCGGAAAAATGATGCATTGAAGTAAATGGAGAGAGAAAGATTATCTTTCGATCCCGTTGGAATTGTGCCACGAATTACACATATGATGTTTGTCAAACTTAAAAAATAATTTCCATGTCAAAAAAGTCACAGTTTGTCGTAAAACTATATATAAGACTATGAAAAATACGCAACTAGAAAGACTACAAATCCCAGAATCCCGGTCCCGCATGCTGGCTCTTACGGAACCGACTAACTCCCCTTTTGTGTATGTACAGCTCTCAACATGCCCAGACTTGTAGTGATTTTCACCTCTTTTAATACTTTTCTGAAAGAAAGAAGTGAAATGTGCCAACGTGACGGCCGTCTTGGTGTGTGGTGCGAGATGTAGTTCATTGAGCGTTTCACACACAAAAATGTGTTACTTCACAGTTTTACGACACTTTTATTTTTTTTACTGGCAAAATGATCTTTTAAATTGACAAACATCATATGTGTAATTCGTGGCACAATTCAAACGGGATCGAAAGATAATCTTTCTCTCTCCATTGACTTCAATACATATTTTTTCGGAAATAAGGTCCCATGGAGGTCCACCGGAAGGGGAGAGACTTCGCCAGTTCGATAAAGTCATGCCTAAACAGCGACATTTTACACGATAAATACGGGTTTAAATAGCAGCATTTGCCACGGAAGGCGAGTGGCAGCTACAGTAAACCTTCTCTTACTCTGGCATCTTGTGGCAACTCCCATTGAGCAGCGGCAGATGCCTCGGCAAGTTGTGGCATCTGTGGCATACGCCGGAAGTACTTGCCACAGATACCACAGAGTAGCGGCCTCTGTGGCATATGCCGGAAGTACTTGCCACTGCCTGCAGATGCCACGAAATGCGCTTGCTGTCTCTCAATATGTATGTAAACGACAGAAGAAGCGATCGAAATGTGTATTTCCTGGTTATTCGACAAAGGCCACGCCTCTGATACGTCTGCCTATACCGTTATAGAATATCACCAGTTGTTCGGCCCACATCTTATTCGGTAACACCGCCACTGGACAGTACTAATCTAATGATAAACTAATCACTGATAAAAATCGACTTCAAATGATAATGCATCAAGTTTGGAGGGTTTTATGCATGCCGAATTAACCAAATTACACCAATATAAACATATACTGTTAAATCAATGCCAGAAAATACATTTATCTTTTCATGCAAACAAGGAAACATCAAAATACAAACATGTTCAATCGAGTCTGGCCTGAAATGTAATATTTTAGATAAGAACCGAAGGGACAACAGTCTGACTGAACTATACAAATGAACTGTTCGTCTTGTTACCATTTACATATTATAAACCCAGCGACACAGGGAATAGTTGAAAGCAGGTGCAGACTGTCTTACTTTCTGGCGTACATGAGCAGGCCGAAGCTGACCAGGATCACCAGCAGGTAAACATTGGTGGCCTCATTCCAGGCTTCGTGCACAGAGTAGTCAATGGTCTCGGGCTCGTTCCCCACACCCCCGTGACCCCCCATGGAAATACAGCAGCTACTCCCAAATGATGCAGTAAATGTGAAACAGAAATACTTCTAATGCCGCTTTATTATCTCTATCACTCAACCAAGGATGCTCTGAGTGTTAACGGCGTAAACACAACGCCACATCCGCCTTCTTCGTCTTTTTCTGTTTCCGGGTAGCTCGCACGCTGCAGGGCACGTTGTTTCCCTCCGCTGTCCAAAGTGTGAACTGCAGCATGAACACAACAATTATTATTTTAAAACGTATTTCTTCGACACTTCCGATTTGGGACGGCATGGAGTGGAAGTAACGTGCTGGCGCTCCTGCTTACTTTTCATATATTCACCCATAACCCCTCAATTGTACAACTAAATTGCTTCACTTCATAAATTACTTTGGCTTCAAAGAGGGACAAAAAGTATGACTGCAGCGGCATCTAGCTTAACAGTTGAGGCCATCCCTTTGATACTGGACGAGCATCAGGAGGCGTTAGCAGGAGATTTCAAAACTTATTTTAGCCTACTCAAAACTTAATTTGACCAAGTCCCGTTCACAGTTGAGGATCACGGTTAGCGTCTAGCATCTATCAAGTTCGCTTCTGATTACCTGAGCCAGCGTGTTAATGAGGTGGAAGATTTATTATATATTTGTATTTCATAAGAACACAATTTCCCGATTTTGGATCAACAAAGTACATCTTATCTTATACTAACAGAACTACGCCTATATTGCGTACAAACCCCCCCCCCCCCCCCCCCCCCCCCCCCCCCCCCCCCCCCCCCCCAAAATCAAGTTGAACCGCCCCAGTAAAAACCAGAGGTTTATGTGAAATAGTTCCTTCTTTTTTTTTTAAATAATGGTTTTAGTGTGCAATTATAGGTTTACATTTTGTGATAGTATTCATTTAAAATAAATTAAACTCCCAAAAAACGTATACAGCTTTTATGAACATTGGAATTTACTGTGTAAGCGGCCGCGGGGGGGGAGAGCTTTAGAGCTCTCTCCTGAAAGACTGAGCGGCTCTGATAACTTCAGCTAGGTGAGGTAAAGGCACACCTTTATATGATCATTATAGTTATAAAAAAATAAGAGAATATAGTATAAAATACTATATGACAGTAAAAAAAAGTTGCTATTAATAAACAAGAATACAATTTAAAAGGGGAGTGATTTGTAAAATATCCATAAAGAAAAAGAAAATCTGTTTACAGTTCTGTTTCATATGGGTGTTGAGAGATGTATCCATAGATCTCTTAATGTTGCTCTCAAAGTGCACCAGATTGATGCTTTTAACTTCAATATTAAAAAAAAAAATCTTCCCGGGAGGAGGTTAGGTCCCCCCCACTTAAATCATGTTCACATGGATAGGATACTAAATACATTTGCACACATGACCGGATGAATGAAAAGACTATGTCAGTCGAGGATCAGCTTTGGTAAGGAAGAGACAGGACAGGCAGAGAGAAAGAGAAAGTGATGGAAGTCAGGGAGGAACTGCAGGTACAGTCACACAAAATAATGTAGGCTTAATAACCCCATATACACTGCACAAAAATATAAATGCAACACTTTTGTTTTTGCTCCCATTTTTCATGAGATGAACTCAAAGATCTAAAACATTTTCTATATACACAAAATAACCATTTCTCTCAAATATTGTTCACAAATCTGAAAAAATCTGTGATAGTGAGCACTTCTCCTTTGCCGAGATAATCCATCCCACCTCACAGGTGTGGCATATCAAGATGGTGATTAGACAGCATGATTATTGCACAGGTGTGCCTTAGGCTGGCCACAATAAAAGGCCACTCTAAAATGTTCAGTTTTATCACACAGCACAATGCCACAGATGTCGCAAGTTTTGAGGGAGCGTGCAATTGGCATGCTGACAGCAGGAATGTCCACCAGAGCTGTTGCCCGTGAATTGAATGTTCATTTCTCTACCATAAGCCGTCTCCAAAGGCGTTTCAGAGAATTTGGCAGTACCACACCAGCCCAGGACCTCCACATCCAGCATGTTCACCTCCAAGATCGTCTGAGACCAGCCACTCGGACAGCTGCTGCATCAATCGGTTTGCATAACCAAAGAATTTCTGCACAAACTGCCAGAAACCGTCTCAGGGAAGCTCATCTGCATGCTCGTCGTCCTCATCGGGGTCTCGACCTGACTCCGGTTCGTCGTCGTAACCGACTTGAGTGGGCAGATGCTCACATTCGATGGCGTCTGGCACGTCGGAGAGGTGTTCTCTTCACGGATGAATCCCGGTTTTCACTGTTCAGGGCAGATGGCAGACAGCGTGTGTGGCGTCGTGTGGGTGAGCGGTTTTCTGATGTCAATGTTGTGAATCGAGTGGCCCATGGTGGTGGTGGGGTTATGGTATAGGCAGGCGTATGTTATGGACGACGAACACAGGTGCATTTTATTGATGGCATTGTGAATGCACAGAGATACCGTGACGAGATCCTGAGGCCCATTGTTGTGCCATTCATCCACGACCATCACCTCATGTTGCAGCATGACGGCCCCATGTTGCAAGGATCTGTACACAATTCCTGGAGGCTGAAAACATCCCAGTTCTTGCATGGCCAGCATACTCACCGGACATGTCACCCATTGAGCATGTTTGGGATGCAATGTACACCAGAAATTATTTTAACAGGGTACAGGGCAAAAATGGTCCGACATGGAGGCTGAAAACGCCAGAAGAGTACAACCGGGGAAATACCTGACCCTTCAGTTTTTTTAACCTTATAAAAACCTGAAGAGAGCAGTAGAGGTTTTCTCATATGACGAAGACGTTGTTGCGTATCACGAGAAGATGGCATTTTCAGACATTATACATTTGCTGCTCAATCCAGATGCTGGGTCAAGATTCACCCCTAAGCAAACACTTAGGCACCCTTTCATCACTATGGTAAACCTCGAGGAGGAAATAGACTTAAACTCTTACGCAGTGAATGCCTTTGAGTTGATGGCTGTCTGCACCCTGGCTGATACAGGTGATAATCCTCTCAGGGACCCTGAAACTCCAGACACAGCTTGCAGGACAAGCAGGGCTTTAAGTGCTTTTGATTTCACCCTGAGTTGTTTCGTTTATGATGGACAACTTACAGCACCAATATTTGGCCTTCCACCACCTCGCAAGATTGGTTTACCAAGAGAGCCATCCAAGAATTCAGGTGCTGAAAATGTAAATACTGAGAGGTCCAGTTATGACTCCACCCCTCAGCAGCACCACACTGAACCTCCCTGCAACAACATGTCAGCGGCTGAACCAAGTCAAGTGAGAGAACGGAGTAATGACACGGGCTGTCCCGGACCAAATCCATCTGAGACTATCAGCGTTGAGTTTGAGCCAATAGACTCCTCCGCTGATGAGTCACACAGCCCAGATATTGGTGCCGAGGAGCCTCTTCATGGTATTGAGGTCCCAACTGGCTTCAGGAGAGAAGACCACACTGCATTCACCAACAATGAAGACTCGGGAAGACTCTGGAAGCATCCCCAGCGAGGAAGACTCAGACGAATATGAAAATGGATGACGAAGGTTCTTGAATCCTGATATCTGTGAAAGACCAGGGGTCGTCTGGAAGACGTCAACACGACAACAGGCAGGATAACCACAAGATCTCCAAATTCCTCAGCGAGGGAAAGGTGAAGTGAATTCCCTTTTCCGACGTTCAAAGGGATCCTCCTGTCCGCTTCGTGTACCGACGTCAGGGTTTACTCCGGGTGCTCCGGTTTCTTCCCAAATAAAAGTAAAAAGACAAAGATATACAAGTTATATTACAAGTTATATATAAGTGTATTTCTGCCACTATGTGTCAGGCTTATGTCAACTAATCTTGATGTACTTAACTTTATAAAAATCCAAAATGTTATGCAAATAAGATTTGCTTCAATAAGATTCATTATTTTTATTAAGAATATAGGAGAAATTAAGAATGCCTACAGTGTCTTTTAAAATAAGCCATTTAAAATTGGACTTCTCTGCTTCTTTGTCCGCAGTGGACCGTTGTAACGTTTTCATCACTTTTACTTTAGGTTCAGCAGAAAGGTGTAACAAACATAACTCAAAGCATTTCAGCAAGGTTCAGCATAATGTTCTTAATAGCTAGTGATAGTAGTAGAGTCTTGTTGAGTCCACTCATTTAAAATTGATGTTCAAATCCCTTGAAAGTTAACTTATATTCAGCAAATATTATTGATTTGGGAAATATTAAGAGGAACAAAGCCATTTGTCCACATACACTTTTATCAGTTCTCATTAGCAGCAATTTACCAGACCCGCAATAATCTGCAAAAATCCGGAAAATGTAAAGGTCACCTATTATGTAAAATGCACTTTTTGATGTCTTTGTGTGATGACACACAGTGTCAGAAAATACAACCCTCTCTTTTCCTCCTTACCCACATCTCTAAAAACGGGGGTACAATGGAGCTGAGCCAGATTTGCTGCCAATATTGAAAATGTGGTCTGGCTTTACACGCCCACGGGCCGGCACTATCAGAAACGTCGCTGTATCAGAAACAATGCGTGACGTGTTTTGGAAGTAATACGGTCTGTGTTTACATTAGCAAGCATCGGTAACACTCAGAGCTAATGCTGTAGGCTACTGGAGAAAGTATGTGTAAAAAAAGCCGTATAAAAAAAGTAACTCGCAAGACAGAGAAAAAGCATTTGATCTCCATACTGTTTCAGAAATAATCCTTGATGTGGTTTGGAACATAATATGGCATTTAATCACAGTAGCATTTGGCTGAGAATCTGCTGAGTTCAACCTTCTCTTCACAGAGCACACTGCTTGCATGCGGAAAGGGGCGTGGCCAGCAGCAGCTCGGGTTACATTTGAAGCTACTGACCCAGAATCAGCACTTTAGTAACAGGGCTGAAATAGAGTGGTATGAGGCATGCTACAATGGGTGATCTGTTTGGTATTTTGAGCTAAACACTTGTTGTGTACAGATATGCCCCTACAATATATTGTTCAAATATAGCATAATAGGTGAGCTTTAAATCTCCACGGTCATAATGTCCATTAAAAATAATTTGCCAAGATTATTACAAATAGTTTGAATAGATGAGTCAGCACAACCTGCTCTCATCCAAGCCAAAAAGACAGGTGGAGAATGATTTAACATTAAACTATTGTAAATCAACTCCACCTGTGAATAGAAACAACTTCCTAATCAATAAATCAATAAAAATGAAGAATATATATATATATATTTCAGATTTATTGTAAATGTAATAAAATAACACGTCCATACTTAAAATAATAATAATAGCTAACTAATAAAATGCAATCACTGACGAGAACAGTAGGATGCAACAGTGTAAGTTTATTTGTCAAGTTTACAGTCAATCAATACATGAAAAAAAGTCTAATTGCAGCTGATGGTTCATATCTGAACATGTCAAATAATGACAATGAGGAAAAACAAAAAGTTTCCTTTGCACAAAACCTGTTTTTGTAATCATTATTTAATCAGTCCAACGTCATTCAGTATCAGCAATGACATGGTACCCTATAGGCTATACACAAAACACTTTGTTGCATCACACAGGCTTATTTTACATTTTTTTCAAAATTATCTTATTTTTCAAAATAGAGTTTTGCTAATTCATACCTACAGAATACATAAAGCGGCATTTAACATAGTTGCTGTAATAATAACTTTATACATGAGACAGAGACGAGAGCCATAGCTCAATACTCGTAAAGTATAAGAAATAACGGAAGGCTTTTAGGCCAATTACTGCGGGAGAGTGTAAACAAAGGGGGGGGAACAATCAACACACAAAAGAAACAATCTCTGGTTGCTACTCCTAGCAAATATGGAAACTGCAGGGTAGCTCCACAGAAATCTGAGGTGTTAGTGCTTTTCTTGTAGAGTCTCAGTATTGAAAGTAAATGGCTCAACGTTAGATGCACATGCTCAAGAAACCAGCTCAAGGTCAGCGCCGAAACCAAACCAGCCATTCAGTACATGGGCAGACATGATCTGTAAAAACTTCTCGTAAGACTTCACCTCAATCCTCAAACGCTTCAAAGTTATCGTGGTGGTCAAATGATAAGTAAATAATAGCAAATCTAGAACTATCAAGGTCGGTCTCAGGTGAAATACAGTAGGAGTGCTGGCAGAGAAACGAAGATGTCTGAGACAATGACCAAACTCAAGTGACAAAACGAATAAATGCTTCAAAATAAGACTCAAAAACATAAAGAACCAGTGTAGAATTTAAGGTAGGAAACCAATTTATACCGTGTCATACTATACTGTAAATACACACATAGAAGGGCAAATAAAACTAGAAATCAAACATTCATCACCAAGAAAAAACCTGCAAACAAGCAGTAGGTAAATATGCTGTTATTTATCATTTATTTACAACACTTAAGCTATTTTTTAAACAGGTTCGTATGCACGTAATGAAGCAGGTTGGTTAGTTGTTGGACCACGGGGGGGCTGGGTGTGGGTGACGGTGTTAGACATGCAGATTCAGTACTCCCTCTAAGCCTTCAGAGTAGAAACCCAGCAGGTAGAAAGACAGACAGAAGATTCACCCATGAAAATGAATTGTCATTTAGACTGCTTAAAAATGCTCACCAATGCAATGTTTACATCTCAAGATTTTGTTTTCATATTGACGGTACGGACACTTCGCACTCACGATACTTTGACGGAAGCCCTTGGGTTCTTAAACATGCTGTAACATTACCTTCAGCAGTTCAAACCCGATCTGCACATCAACAGAGGTTGGTTAGGGTTGGACAGATGTCAATATTTTCAAACCAGTTTGACATTTAGCTAATATTCGGATATGACGGCTATACCAGATTTGACAACTAGGGGTCACACTTGACGAAGCAGCCGCACATTACTTTTCTTTCAGTGTCTACGCGTTGTTACCCCGTCTGTTTTGATACGAGAATACAAGATATCGCAACCAATCTAGATATAGAGACGCTAGCATTAGTGCTGTGATGTGCCTAAATGCTCAATAGGCAGTTTACATAAAATCAAACCAGTGTAAGCTTGTTAATTGGAAATCAACCAAACTCTAGCAGTGCTGATAACTGTTGAGTACGGACGTATTTTTTCCAAATGAGCTAAAATACTGCCACCTTGCACATAGTTATGTTATGTTTTTTCCGTAGCAGCATAATGCACAATGTAGCCAAACTCTTCTCTTCCGTGATCTGTCAATCTGTGGGGGGTAGCTGTATTAGTAGCAGTGCGTATACCCTGATGCAGCATCTATAAGCAATCCAAACCAAGTGTAGAGTCAAACTGAATGTCATCAAAGCCTAATGTCATAATTGCCTAATCGAAGCATTAGCAGTACTTTAGCGGCTATCAGCTTTAGCACTAGCAGAATCAAGCTAGGCTATTACTGCTCATTACATTACTCTGCATAATTGAAGCCTACTGAAAGCGGATGCATGCGGTGATCTGTGGCTGGGTGGAGCTGAGGCAGCAGGCGTAGAGGGAGCACTGATTGGTTCACTGGTGTCACATCAGTATGTCCAGGTCGTCCCCGCGGTCGTCCTCCTCCGTCACCCGCAGCGCCAGCACCTCCTCGTTCAGGAACAGTCCGCTCAGGTGCTCCTTGCGGGCCTGGCGCTGCTCCTTCAGCTGCCGCTTCCTCAGAGCCTTCTGCTGGAGCTTGCGCTGCTTGGAGCGTTTCTGAAGAGATGGCAGGGCAGGAGAGAGACGTTTAAGAAGGGAAAAGATGAGGATAAAGGCTTTGAGGGAAATGTAACCCTAACCCCTAGATTCCACCGGGTCCGTCTGCGTCGCGTTACGGCCGCGTTACGGCCGCGTTACGGCGTCCGCAAGGATCGCGGCCACTCTAGTCAATGGGTGCTATTCCACCAGAAGCGTCCCAGAAGCGTCTCGCCGCTGGGCTCCGCTCTAAATAGGATTGAAGTCTATTTTTCGACGCGAGGCGTTGCAGAGGCGGCGGGCAGGAAATGGACCGGTCAGAGCATCCGGCCCATCCCCCAAATAAACTAATTTGCAGACCCTATCCCTCCGTAGTCTTTCAAGTAGGAGTAGACATGCCAGCGTTCTCCTCCTGTTTACAGGCACTGTGTAAATTATATATAGAATAATTATGATGATAAATGCATTTTTTTACCACTAAAATACAGCAACACATCTTTGATTCATGTAGTTTATAACTGGGATATTACAATTATTATGAACTTTGTCTGTACAAAGCAGCCTGTCCAGGAAATATGCCCAAATCAACAAAAACTGCGAGCCGGTAGGCAAGACGCTCCGCTTCTGAAACGCTTCTGAAACGCGCCTGGTAGGGTATGACGGACCGCGGCGCAGCCGTTACGCGACGCAGACGGACCCGGTGGAATCGAGGCTTTTTGTATTCATATATTAATCTGTTGATTATTGCCTTGATTGATCTATTATTAAAACTAATAAACAAAACAAAAAAACCTTTATTATTTCCAGGATTTTAATTCAACAAACTCCACACATTACTTGTTTTCTTGGACAGTGCTTTTTAAGTAAAATAAACTCAATAAATGGATATATTAAATATTTTGGATGCTGCCATGCACCTCAAAAAAGTGAATGTAACTCTGGTTTCTGAACTAAAGAAATAAAGGATTTCACTTTAGACTGTGTGACTAATGGCATAGAAAATGATTGTTTTGAGGGACAAAAACCTGATTACAGATTCATTTAAAAACAAATGTAACTTACCTTCTGTTTTCTCTGTTTTGCGATGGATCAATTAAGCTGGATCCATGATGAAATCCCGCTACATGGATCCATGTATTTTAAATTAACCTGTAATCAGCCATTTTCTACACTGTGTCTCTTTCAAATGCTTTAAAGACAGAGGAGACGGCGGGATTTCCTGCCATTCAGTGTGAGCTACACAAGGCTGGCCCTACAGGAACATTCCACAACTGATCAAAGATGTGTAATGTGTCACCACAGTGATAAGATGGACTTTTATTAATCCCTCGTGGGGAAATTCTTTCTCTGCATTTGACCCATCCTGTGTTAGGAGCAGTGTGCTGCCATTTTGAACGGCGCCCGGGGAGCAGTGTGGGGAACGGTGCCTTGCTCAGGGACACCTCGGTAGCACTTGCCGGGACTTGAACTGGTGACCTTCCAGTTGCCAAGCCAAGTCCCTATCGACTTCGCCACCACCGCCCACAAATCCAGAAGGAATAGTATTTGTCAAAAACAGGTGTTTCTACACTTCCCCCCACACACGCACACATTCTTACTTTAGAGTCTCGTATACGTTCTGCAGCACTGGAAAGGTTGCCATCGCTGTGAGCTCTGCTAATGTTAGCAACACTGCTGCCACTGCAGGCTGATGCTGGACCACCTGCAACACAACATGTATTACAACCAGGAAGACTCAAGAGAAACAAAACCGAGCTGAACATCTTACTTAATGTTGTGATTGCTTATTATTTCACCAACAAAATGGTCTATCTGTCATTGTTTAATCCTATTGGCGGCGGCAATAGCTCAGTCTTTAAGGACTTTGTCACCGGTACAAGTCCAGATGGGACCAAAGATACGGAGTGTGGACCGGTCACTGTTGTTAATAAAAGTGAAAGTGAATTTACACTCTGGATTAATAAAGGTGATCTTAATCATAATGAGTTGTGCAGGAATGATTCTGAAAACGAACGAGCATTTTAACACTTCTTCTCTGGTATCTCTAAGTCATGGTTTTTTCTGAAGTCCTTTTTGGTTAGATGCTTGAAATAAGGTCGGTGTTTAACACAAGCTTACGAAATGTTCACATTTTTACCCTGCTGGTGAATGTCCTAGGTGTCTAAACACTTGCTACCGTGACTTAATGTAACTATTACATGTCATCACGTCAATTATAGCCGCCTTTAGCTTAGCGATGGTGACGTGTAGTCATGTGACCGTTCTGTATTTCCTTTATAGCCAAAAAGTAGTTTTTAGCATGTTAGCACTTATGCTGTGACATCAAATATATCTGTAAATGTGCCACTGGTGAAAGTCTGAAGCATAAGTCATAAGAACAGCGGTTGCTAACAAGTGTGGAAATGACTCTACTAAACATCATCACGGCAAACATTAGCCGCCTTTAGCTTATCTACGGTGACGTGAAGTCATGTGACAGTGCTTTAGTTCCTTTAAAGCCAAAAGTTAGAATTGACTTCTGGCTAATCAAAAAGTTAATAGGTGGAGATTATCCTGCTGAACAAAATGTTGACGTATCATAAACAAATGTTTGCCACTGATAATATTTTCTGCAATATTCCAAAATCTAAGAGATAAATCCCATTGGCTTTTTGCTCCAAGGAGCCCCTGCGATGCTAACTGCCAGGACAGTAAACAAAAATATTAGGGCTGTCAAACGATTACAATTTTTAATCAGATTAATCACAGCTTAAAAATGAATTAATCATGATTAATAATCACCATTCGAACTATGTCCAAAATATGCCATTTCTTTATGTATATTGTTGTGGGAATGGAAAGATAAATGAAAGAAGGCGGATATATCCATTTCACATACAGTATGTATGTTTATTATAAAAAAATTCTGTGTGTCAAAATGAAAGACAGCCCACACACCTATCAATCATCAAACCGTGGGGTCTTAATTCATTACGTGTTGATTTCTATCAACGGGGGAGTACTTCAGGAAAGTCGACGGGGGGGGCGGCTAGTGGAGTACTTCATGACCACAGAGTGTGAACGTTGTGATCAGCTGTTTTAGCGCAGTTCTCCAGTGAAGGGGGGGGGGGGGGGGAGTCTCCCTCCGCAGCCGGTTGGCGTAGTTTTGGCACAATTCCGTTGTACAGGCCGACGTTAACAGCAGCCCTGTCTGTGCACACGGAGACCGACTCTGTCGTCCGGTGATCTAACCGCCTTCTGGAAAAGCTTCACAAGTACGTCGGTACGCAAATGCGCTTTGTGACACAAGTGACGGTACGCATTTCAGATTACGCACATAACCTGCGTACCAGTTATGTGTTACCTGTACTACAGCAAAAGTATTCTCCGTCGGGACTTCCTGCAACAACACCACGCCGTTATCGTGATTCTGATTGGCCAGAAGACATTATCAAAGATGCTCTATTGAGAAGACGATCACTACGTGACAAAAGTTTTCAAAACCGTTTCTGGTCTTCGGTATTTCCAGACAAGTGGCTACTGAAATCAATCTTACTAACTGCTGTCTGTGCAATTCTCGGCGCGAGTTGGCGGACTTTATTTTGCTTACTTTAACATCATTTTTCATGGTGGGGCTAAGCCATTTATTGGTATGGGTGTAGCCTACCCCAGCCATACCCTGGCGCTGCCACTGGTGGGATGTATGGGGCGGGCCATTCTGCACATGCGTTAAATGCGTTAAATATTTTTAACGCAATTAATTCAAAAAATTAATTACCGCCGTTAACGCGATAATTTTGACAGCATTAAAAAATACATCTCCTTGCACCACTTTATATCTGAGCCCCATCGTTCCACCATTTCAAGGCAACGTCTCACCTGCCACAGAGTTGGAGGCGGTGGAGCCGGTGGAGGAGCTGGTGGAGCTGACCATGCTGCCGTTGCTGCTGCTGGCGGCGCTGACCCCCCCGGTGCTGGCGCTGCTGTGGCTGCTCCTCTTCCAGCCCTCCCTGCTGGCCCGCTGCCTCGGGCTGTGCTCTCGGATATAGTTACGCACCTGAAGGCATCACACAGGTACCAATTATTTACTTCTCACATCCTGCAGAACTGAAATGTAATGGACTGGCGGTGTTTTCACAGCTGCTGCCCACCTGCTTGAGCTTCTCGTCGGTGAGGCAGTTGAGCTCGATGATGAACTCGCTGTCGGTGGGGGAGATCTGAGCGCAAGGGTCGATGATCTTGATGATGTCCAGCTGCTCCCTCAGGCCCATCTCTGTGCTCACCTTCCGACTCAGGTACTCGATATACTCCACCTGGAAGTGGAAACACACACATGAAGTTTTCATGCTTTCCATTCCAGGTATCTCTGCCCACACTGAATACTTAAAGGTTGATTTAAAGTGTTTCACTGAACGTAGTGGGGTGTTTCTAACTACTGCAAACAATCACTGGAGTGGAAATGGCTAGAGCTTTATATTTCTGATAATGAGTAAAATAATACACTACAAACAAAGGGAGTTGGGAATTCAGACATACCACAGGATGTGGGGAGAAAAGCACATGTAGTTACCAACTCAAGTACATGAAGGGATTTCAATTTGAGGTAATTCTGGAAATTACTATAGTAGCTAAAAGAAAGTTCCAACAACAGCAGCAGCATGCGTGGGTGTTATGTGCAGGGCTCGAGCTTAAGGGCGTCCCGTCGTCAACAAAAATAGGGTCGGGGAGGATAAAAAAAAAGTTTGGGACGAGAGTTCAAATAAAAATACCCTGCCAACTCTACTACGAACGGCAATGAAAATGAAACTGACTGCACGTTTTGTGTAGCACACAGTTATTAAACCTCCTCCAAAACAGCAACCCGCGAAATACACACACACACAGTACGTATACCGACAGCCAGCGGCACAGCTGCCCGCAAATTCCTGGCCCGCGAATTTGCGGGTCTAGCTATGTACTGACTGAGTGTGTGTATTTCGCGGGTTGAGTGATGGACAATGGCATCCCGTGGAGGAATTCTGAAATGTTTTACCGTTACATCACGAAAACGCACAGCAGAACCAGACCCTGGAGCGCCGGCCTCTTTATTTACTTACTCCTCTTCATCCTCTGCTATGGGTAATAAGGCTGAGATGAGAACTCTCCATCGCAACAATGATTACGATAGTGTAGCTTCTCATAAATTCATTATGCTATCTGGCTGCTTTTAAAAGAATGTTTTAAGTTGGTGAAATAGTGGCAATTACATGCAAAATCCAACAAAATAAAACGTGGAAACCTTTTTGTATTGAGATGCAAGCCATGCCATAATCTAATTGTTACCGGACATTCACGTGAAACAATTCACCAGCAGAAATATTTAAAACATACTGGTAGCTGGGTCAGAAAGCTGGTCAGTTAAAGGATCTCCTTAATGACTTAGAAGCACTATGATACAGAGAGGTGTGTTTACTTGTTCATCGTTGGTCATGGCGCTCCATGGTAACTCGTCCAGGTTGCGGTGGGGGTGGGGCTTAGGCTTCCTCTTGGAGAACAGACATGGTGAACTGGGAACGCTGGGGATGATGTCAGAGAGGACGTCGCTGCCACTGGCGATGTCACTTCCTGGCAGCTGTGGGGAATGTAACAAAAAAAATAAGGAATGGACAACATCGCGCTAATCACTTCATTTTTTGGACGATTGTGGCTGTGAGGAAGTGTGGTCGTCCAGCATTCGGAAGGTTGGGAGTTCGAAGTCCGCACCTTGACCTATCATGTACAATGTGTTGGAGGTTTAGCCAATACAAGCGCAAGTGTTACCTCCCTTTGGAGAAACTTTGCGATTTTAGTCTTTGCAGACCAAAACCTATATAACATTCTACAGGAAAAATAAAACCCAAAAGAACATTATAGGGCCCCTTTAAGTAACTTTCTTTTGGGATAATATTTGTCTCCTGGTTTAATAGCATCTATTTTTTCCTCTTTTATCAATTTGCCAAAGCTAACATACCAATTACGTAAATGTGCGTGTTCACTGCAAAAGCTACACGGGCTGAGTGCAAAAAAAAGAAATGTCATCAGAGTTAGATAATGCCACCGACCTGCCACTCAAACTCGCTGCTGTCGGACCAGTCCCAATATGTGCTGATGGAGGAGGAGACATCGCTGCAGACACTGCCCTCTGGAAACAGGTCCAGAGACGTCAGTTCCTGGTCGTCCAGCAGGGAGTAGCAGTCGTCCTGATCCCCCACAGACACGGAGGAGAAGAGCTCCTCGCTGCACTCTGAGCTGGCCACGCTCGTCCCACAGGAAGTGAGGTTCCACCTGCGGACAACAATGACAGCACGTCAGAGCACTTTCTAGGAGTAAGTCATGGAAATTGATCTGAAGGTTTTTCAAGACTGGGGGAGGGTGCAGGCAAGATAAGGAAGTACATTTCAGCTATGTCAATTATTTTAAAATGTCAACAAAAACATGGATGCAGGAGTCACAGAGTATACTGTTCACAGCTATTTTCCAGTGGCACCTTTTTCACCATTAACCTTTTTTCTGAGACTTGCCACCTAAGAAATGCGAATAATACTGAATAAACTATACATTTTATGTGAATTTGATATGACTTCTTTACATTTTTGTCTGGAGAACTTCATTATTGTCCTTATTAAAGCCAACAGAATGGACTTTAGCTTATCAATGAGTGTATAGAACCTCCTTCCTTTAAAACAAGGTAAAAAAAGGTCAGGTAGTGTTAAGGTGCGTTCACACAGGACATGAAGCTAATTGTGTACCGTGCCATCATTTGTAACAACGCTTGTCAGTAAAACTAGACAAGGAGGCGGGGCTAATTTCCTTGTAGATACCAACAATGTTTTTATTAGCCATGGCCGAAATCGCAACAAAGTATGAGTATGGACAAAATCATCTTTTTTGTTTGTTATGCCACCAATAGCTGCATGGCCACATGTTGCAGCAGTTTATGGTGGGTCCATCTTTTGAGTACTGTACCATTTAAGGTTGGTATTTTTTGTATTAATTCCCAAAACAAAAATGAGGATTTTTCCTTGATAAAATCTTTTGAAAAAACATCCTGAGAGTCAGTTGACCTCACAAACTGATGACACACACGTGAACACAAGCACACACCACTGGTCTACTTGCCTGTTGCTTTTGAAGCGGTGCAGAGGGTCTGTTCTGTGACAAGATGAGAGTTGACAGCCAAAGTCACTGACGTCCAGAGTTCCCACATCACTGAGGTTGGCTCTTTGAGAGAGGAGTGGGAAAGGCTCCTCTGGTGCCAAAAACTTCTCATACAGAGACTCAGACATCGCCAGATGGACCTACAAAAACAGAGGCAAAGATAAGACAAACAAAACATAATAGGGTGCATATCAATAGAGCTACAGTCTCAATTATTAACACCAAATTATATAGACACATCTGACAGACACACTCTCCAAAAGCTTTCTAAAAGGGTACAGCTGAACCACAATATGGTGTATTCAAGTAGAGTTTTACCCTCAAGGAATGTATTTGCTGTACTTGTGCAAATCATAACACAGTAACAGACAATTGTATTCAAATGAAAAACAGGTATTGCAAAAATCAAGTAACAAAAAGGAAAAAACAAGAAAAAGGACAATTAAGATATTAACTATTTATCAAGTTAAATGAAAGTGTGTGCAATTGTAATTTTATAATATGTGTCCTAATGTGCAAATTAATGTATTTTAAATGATATTAAACATTCTGTTGTGTGGGGTGGAAGTGAATATCCAATAGACAACTCTTACAAAGTTGCTGATCTTTTCCAGTGGTAAAGCACCTTGATATACAGACACAATGAACAAAACCAAATATGATATTTAAGGTATTTAGTTCAGTTTTAACTTGATCTGATGGACTTCAACATTGTTGCTTGTAAAAATGTTCCATGTGTGTAAATCATTGTTGTTAATAAATGTAGTGAAACTACAAAAATGTGGCACAAGGTCACTCAAGAAAGCAAAACTTCGTCCAAATACAAGCAGTTACCTCAGGAATACGAGCTCCTTTACATTTGGGTCTTTTGTTGGTAACATAAGTGACGTTAGTGGCCAAAGCTAGCATTATTACAAGTACTAATAATGAGCTTTTAAGCATGTTAAAGACACTTCTCATGTTCATCTTTGATACTAGATGTCATCCACGTTAAGCCTCTAACTCCCATAATTGTTGTTTTTCTTAACAACACAATAAGATGCTTGACAGTCACGCAAAGCACACCAAGACAAAATGAGAATACACCATTAAAGAAGGAAGCTACATTAGCTTTAATAACTCAAACATTACCATATACGGTACTATTATTTTTCACCAAGACGCACATTCCGTGTTTGGAAAACAACACTAGCTAACGTCATTAGCTAGTTGCTAATCCTTCAAATGTGCAGGTAGCGTTTACCTAGCCACAAAACGAGCTTTAAATAATAATTTTCATTAATAACACACCTGAAGGTCTCATAAACCTGGTAAAGTTATTATAAAGAAGCTATAAACATTAAAACACTAACCTTTTGTCGTTCAAATAATGATCATTTCTGCCACCTCCATTTGCAAATCCTTTCTTTTCCAGCGATGAGCTAAGCTGTCACCGCGAGACTCCCGCGAGCCAACACTGTTGTCATGTGACGTGAGGCGGAAGTGGTCACACAAACAGAAAACTAGCATAAAAAAGAGCATTCTGTGCTTAAAATTTCACAATTTTGCTATTTGTTATCGCAAAATACAACATATGATTGCATGGTAGTCATGTCTTTAAGCCACACAAAGGACTCCAGCTTTTTGGGGGGCAGGATACCCGCAGAAATCGAGTCAATGTCGAAAAACCTGAAGGATGTGGACCAAGAGTTGTTCAGAAAAATACTAAAAGGTAAAATAGCTGTTTGCAAGATAATGTTGTTTTTAATGTCTATAGTTTATGACTCATTACAGACCTGGTCAGCCGTCTGTATAATATTTTTTTTTTTTAATGCATTGTAAAAGCCACTAACAATGGGGACGTTTTAAAACGTTGATAAGGTGTTCATTGAGTAATGATATCGGAGTTCCAACAACTTTTACTGTGAGATTTTAATAAATAGGTAGAGCAAAAACTGCTTTTTTGAGAAAAGGATCATTTACAACAACAAAAAAACCATAGCAACACAACCAGAACAAATATACCTAATACCATCACCGTGAAGGGCATCCATTATAACGTTAAACGAAAAAGTAAAAGTTATGTTATATAATCATAATCAGTCAGTGTCCCGGAAAAAAGTTTCACACATTTCTAAAAGCCTATTAATCCCCAAAAAAATCATGAAAAGTTCTAACATGAACCTAATAATACAGACAGAATCAAGATCTGTCCAAAATATGCGGAATATTTCACAAATACAAAAGATGATAAATTGTGTCAATATTATTTTTTTAAACTTGCACAACAAATATAAATATCTGTCGCCCAAACTTGGCGATAAGACAAATATCTAGGTGTATTTTATGGAACATTTAAAAAGTGTTCAAATATGCTTTTAGTTCATGAAAACAGCCCACAGAATGGTACCTGCAGGGGACCCGTGACAGTGCCCAATATCCCTGAACAAGTAGGCCTACAAATGAAGTTAATCCATAGCAGAGGTAAGTATGCCTGTGAACTCTTTTCTGTCCAGCTGTGGTCAGCGCCCTGGAGGGGAAGGACAACAGAGAGGTGATGAAGTCGATAGCAGAGAGCAGCGTCATCCCCCAGGAGAGGCTCAGTTACATCGTGGCTGGGATGTACAGAGTGCTGTCTGAGGCCATCCGCATCCCCACATCGTCGCTAAAGCAGGAGGTGAGCTGCTGTAAAACACTGGAAATTACATTATGAACATGCTGACAGTGTCTCAGTCTGTGTGCACTTTAGAGATGGGTCTTTCCCACAGTACACATTTTCACATGTTACAGCAGCATTAATAATAACCACTTTATGGTCATGATTTCCCAATGTGCCTAAATCCAACAAAACAATCATTACTGTTATATTCACATGCTCTTTTTTTGCTATTACAAGACATGAGATTGGTCTTTATTCCATGCTGTTGACATTGGACTGTATACTCAAAAACTCTATTATTATTCCAACCAAAAATCTCATTAACTTTGAGTATGCTGTCTTTTATGGTAGCCCATTACTGCCAGCGCCAATTACATTTAAAAAAATTAAAAACATAATTATCTCGTGATGAGATGAAGAAAAAATCATTCTAACGAAAAAATGTTATTTAAATAAATATTTTGTATCCTTTTATGAGAAACTATGTCATTTGTATTCAATAGTATTTCCTTATTTTGGGATACTAAGACTTTATTTTGAGATCCAATTCAACATTTCAAGTCAGTTTCTCATTATAATAATTTATAGTAGCCTACCTTTTTCCTCTCATTTGCATACATTGACTTTCAGAGATTATGGACATCCTAAATTGTTCTGACAGAAGACATTTTAACAGGCCACAGTACAAAAATATATATTTGTAATACTAAAAATGTACTAGTGCTGAATTCCACCTCTTGTGGTTATCTAAGGACACACTTCCTTGTTCCCGCCACTTCAAAAGCATCTTCTTACACATTGTAAGATCTTAATAATTGAATATTGAAAATACTTAACACTTGATTTGTGTCCCTGTTTAGGCCTTCAAAGAAGATCTTAGAGAACTGAGGCAAGGCTCGTCATCATTTTAACACATCTTCTATGTTTTCATGCATTACTCTGCTGGCTTATACACAACACACTCTCAACCTGAGATGATAAATGATTATGTTTTGTTACCTAGGATACCTGAAGACTTTATCACAGATTTCTCCAGTGTGGTCTTTGGAAGCAGGTATGTTGGATTTAAATTATCTACATTTAGAACTTTTAGACCTAGTAAAGTAAACCTTGTGTTCTCATAAAGGCATAGAAACAGTCTAAACTCAGGCCCAATTCCAACCAACCCCTACATCCTCCCCCTTACTGAATTCCACCCTTTTTGCATGTTTGTGAGGTTCTTCCAACACATTTGGTGTTGTTCCTAAACACTAGTGGAGAGTGGAAGTTATTAAAGCCTCCAACAGGAAGTGTGCTGGACTTGACTTAACCAGCTGCCCTACCTAACCAGGTGCATCGCTGTTTCTATCCGTCACTTGAACATGCTGTGTAGAATGTCCGTGCAAACATTTCAAAGAACTTCAAAGGTACATTTTCTAACATATATATATATTTTTTTTTATATATTTTTTTTTTTTTGTATAGCCCATTACAACACAAGGCAATTCAAAGTGCTTTACTGCAAAATGTGCAAATAAAAACATTAAAAGCATTAACATAAAGTGCAACAGAAAAATGACATTTTAATACAGTCATTAAAAAAACCAAGAGAATATATTTTTGCAGTTTTATTATTTGTTATTTTTCGTCCAAGAGAAGAATTACGACAGTTCCCGGTCCTGCCAGAAACATGGGAGTTTGTCCAAAAATTGCTGCTTTATTTTCAGTCTCCACCTTAATGAAGAAGCCTCATTCAGCTGAGAGTGAGACAACAGTCAGAGTTCACTCTGTCAAGGAGTGAGTGTGGATGGGTGGGTCTGGAGTTGGGCCATAGTGAAGAAAGCATGCCTTTTTCAAAGTCTAACTTAAACTTGTTTTGATCAGTATTGAGGTTGGCTCTGAATGCCATTCATGGTTACATTATTAGAGCATCATGTACATTGCTTTATGTTTGCAGACGTGCAGCTCTCGATGCAGCAACCTCTCAGAATGATCCGCACCTCCTCACAATGGAAGACTTTAAATGGAGAGTAGATGTTACCATTTCTACAAGGTAATGTATCGAATACAGAGGGGCAAGACATGTTTTTGCTTTTCAAGGTTCAAGGTTCTTTATTGTCAAACTAACATAGCTACAGAGTAATTATGTCTTTGAAAATCTTAGGTCACAGGCTTCTCCAACAATGCAACACAATAATACAGATAAGCAGACAATATTAAAGTATATTATATTAAAAGTAATACAAAAAGAAAAATAGTTTTAAAAAAGTGAGAAAAAAAAGTGGAATAGTGCAATACGAGTCTATATACAAGTTATTGGAATGATATATTAGATAATAGATAAATAATGACTAAGTAGCAGATTTTCAACATACACCCAGAATGTTTTTGTTGTTTTTATTGTAACTGAGTGTGTTTCTGTATCTCCCCAGCTCTTTAGCCCGAGCCCTGCAGCCATCTGTTCTGATGCAGATGAAGCTATCAGACGGTAGCTGTCAGCGCTTTGAGGTACTGAAACTAATGATTTCTCCCTGATAGTACAGGCAGTTTTACATTCACCACAAAGAAACCTGTTTTCATTTTAAATATGTGCCCAGATTATTAATACATATACTTACCAATGGGCCTTAATTATTTACTAAAGCATTTACATTTAAATAGTTTTATCCTTTTTTTGGTTGTTTACTGTTACCTGTAGTGTGTTATATAGACACTTGTGCTTTTATTGGCTAACGCTCCAACACATTGTACGTGATAGGCTAAGGGGCGGTGCAGCTCTAAGCGGTTGACCAATCACAACAGAGCCTGCTTCTTTTCACCCTCAAAAGAGATGCTGCAGCACAGGCAGTATGGGAAAAGTATTGAACATTAATGTACATGTAAATATGTAACAGTAGATGAACAGAATACAAATATGAACCTGAAAATGTTTATAATAAGGCCCCCTTAAAACCGACAAAAGAAACGTGGTGAGCATAATAATTCTCTGCATTCTCACTTCTTCTTAAAGCGAAGTGTCTTGTTGAAAATAAATAATAAATGTTGTTGATTGTAAACCATTCCATTTTAGAAATCATACCACTTATATTCTTAATTCATCAGGTCTCTCACTCAATGAGTTATAGCGTCCCATGCATCCTTTTTTTGTTTCTTTTATATCCACTACTGAAGCTACTTAAAATGGCTTTTATTTCTTTACGTTTACAATTGGGTGGTCCAACCTGTTCAGACTTTAGTCGGGTGTTCTTGATTTAACTTTCCCATTTTTGTTCCTATTTCCTTGTTTTGTGCACACAGCCCTGGAACCTCATGCCCTTTTAACGCTCCTGTTGTCTTCGGGTCAAATCTGACCGATTTACTACTTTCATCAATCATAACTTTTTTGTTTTACATTCGATTGCATTAAGGCTTTATTATGATATCCTTCACAGTAGACCTTTGAACATGTAAAATTGCTGATCACCACTTTCATTGAATTTTGGATGATTTAGTCAACTTTGTAACACCCATGGTGTTCCCGGTCAAACATGACCGCCATAAAGAAAAGGAATTAGTAACCATCCGGATCAGATAAAACACACACACACACACAAACACACACACAAACACACACATACACACACACACACACACACACACACACACACACACACACACCACACACACACACACACACACACAACACACACACACACACACACACATACACACACACACACACACACACACACACACACACACACACACACACACACACACTTTAGATGTGTTCCCCCCCTTATGTGCCCATCCCCCCATGTGAATCACACCTGGCACACACACACACACACACAGAACAATTTGACAAATGTACCGCTCTTATGTGCCCATCCCCCCACATGGATCACACCTGGCACACGCAATACATGTTCAGTGACTATTCTTTGTATATTAACTGCAGTTGGTCATGTATACCAGTAGTCTGATACAATATTTACAGTTTGAAAGGGTGTTAAATGAAATTTGGTGATAATTCATGGTATTTGTGTTAATGTAAAAGCAGTTAAAACAGGACCGGTCCAATTTGACCGCCAACCCCAAAGTAAGGAGGGGGAAATGAAGGCGTGGGGTTTGCATTGTTTTTAGGATCACCTGGAAGGCGCTTTAAATTTACAAGGCCAAAAAGAAATCACTATAAGAACACAGCCTGGTACAAACAATCGATTTGTACCTGTGTATAATTGTTGATGTAGTTGCTATATGTTTGGTTATACTCAAACATTGTTCAATATAAACATCAGTTACATCAAATTCCCCTTTTTGCAAACCTAAATGTATTTTAGAACGCATTATAAAGGTCTACTGTGTATTTATAATTTAGCTTTAGCCTGTGGCTTGAAAGAGTTGGTTGTTAGCCAGCGAGCTAATGTAGGTCGGTTTTACATAATAGGATCCAAGTGGAATAATTGAGGTAACATTTATTATAACTACAGCCTGACCTAGAACCTATTCTTGGCCAAGTGTTGCTGATACAGTCTGTGACAGTTGTGTTTGTTTGTTTGTACACTTAGTATACCACAATATATATACTTCAAAGCAGAACAGATACTTTAGAATGATTCTATCTCTGAGAAAAACAATTCTAGAGGAATTACAGCAGAACCTCTGACAGTATTTCTTTAGTTAAATTAGGTTTAATTTACAGTAGAAAATACCCAATTATCAGTTGAAGAAATAAATAAAAGTAATAACAATGTGACTTGTAGGATTGTAGTTTAACTATCACAGCAGTCACCCAAAAACAATAATAAAATAATAACATGAATAACTTTAAATCATACAATAGTGCTCATTGAAATAAATGCAGTCAGCGATAAATGATTCGTAAGGCTAATAATACAAAGTGAGAAACTGAAAAATGGATTAAATAATCAACAAGTTAGTACAATGCTGAATCAGCAGGGGACGCCACACTCCATAATCAATCAATTAATCAAACGTTATTCATACGACACATTGAATACACAAAAGGTAACACAGCAGGCTTTAGTGATTACAAAATGTTTATGCAAAAATAGATAAATATAATGTTTTAATTATTAAAACTTCTTATTATCCACAACATATAATTGAATAAAACAAGAATAACATTGAATTAAAAGCAACATTACTTATTCTTATTTATACTATGATACCACTGTATATATCGTAGTATACATGTTATATGTTGTAGTACAATGTGCACAATTTTACTTCTTATGTTTACATAAATATTATTATTCCATTTTATTTTTGTATTTTATTGAACCTTCCTGTCTTTGAATAAATATCTTTATTTCATTTTATATTTTTATTTCAAATGTTATCCTCACACTTCTTGCGTTTATTTAAAGGGGGCCTATCATGCAAAATGTACTTTGTGATGTCTTTTATACATAAATATGTGTCCCCGGTGCGTCTGGGAACTCACGCAGCGTCAGAAAATAAAACCCTCTCTCTTTTCCTCCGTACCCAAATCTTTTAAAAACAGGGGTACAACGAGCAGATACAGATTTGCTGCCGATGTGACGTCAAATCGGCAGCGGACCCACAGAAAATTGCTATCAGAAACAATGCCTGACGTGTTTTGGACGTAATCTCATCTTTGTTTACATTAGCAAGCCTCGCTAACACTCAGAGCTAACCTGTACTGGAGAGCACATGTGTTTTAAAAAGCAGGAAATAAAAAAAGGAACTCACCTTGTGATAAACTAAGTATTTATAATTATAAAAAATATAATTGTTTTGTTTATTTATTTGAATCCTTTTTTATTATATTCTAAAATGGAAATACTGTCATACAAATTCTGATTCTGATCCCCCATGCAGTTTTCAAATGGGACACTTTGTTCCTCTGTTACCTCATCAGTGATTCATCTTGTTTTTTTCTCGTCCAGGTGCCATTGTCCAAATTCCAGGAGCTCCGTTACAACGTGGCTCTGATTCTCAAGGAGATGAATGATCTGGAGAAGAGGAACATCCTCAAAATCCAGGATTGATATCCCGATATTTAATAAACCGCACTTTTCGATTTAGTGGAGTTCTGTAAATAGCACCACTCATTTTAAATCATACCTACTATGATATCATGAAAGACAATAATAATCCTCCTGTCATGGTGCTACGATCTGATCGTGTTGGCATCCAACATACTTGACTGCTGCCAGAGTGTAAAACGATAGGAATAGTTATCCAGCTGACTGCACCAGCTGAACCATGACAAAAAGACTCATAGATTTAAAAGATACATCTGTAAAATCAGACTGGATCAATAATTTTCTTGCATTCTTGTTAACTGTACATATTAGCATTGTTGTATCCAGTGGTTGTCTAGAGATTTGAGACAGATACAGAGCCTCCATTGTGCCAAAATACAAATGCATTCAAGTGAGACCCTCTCTTACTGGGTATCCACTTTAACCGGAGTCATGTGATCCGAGTCTGAACATTTTGTCCACATGCTAATGAAACGAGGGTGTGCAAATTAAATAATCATCCAGGACATTTTTCTACTCATTTTCTTGTATGCGTTTAACTCAAACCTGCACAAAATGAACTGTAATATATAAAGCAAGATTGAATGTTTGTTTTTTGTTTGCCATAATAACATAAAGACTTTTTACCTCTTGAATCACTTTTCTCTAATAAAATATGTCCATTCCTGTATCTACAAAGAGTGATTTCTTCATTTTGAACATGATGTCACAGAGAGGGAACAATTAAAATGGCATTTTGTGAATGATAAACACTTTTCACCTGTACAAAAACACTACATACTCACTGAGGATATTAGAGAACACATAAACCACTAAAAGACACCCACATTATTTATTTCTATTATAATATTATAACTTTTTTCTATTTTTTTAACTTTAATACTTTTGTATGCATGCTTCTAAGTAACATTAAGCTGTCTTTGGCTCTGCTGTAACAACGTACATTTCCCCTTAAAGGTATTCTGATTCTGAATGCTTGTTAAAGAGAGGAATAGCTGACAAATCTAATGATGAAGCTGTTCCAAAAGCTAATCAACAACGCCTTCCGTCATACAGTGGTGTAGGACGGATGAGAATAATACATGTATACGAGTATTTCTTACAGCACTTGATAAAAGTGTGGGAGGTGGCTTTGATGGCCTATTTATGTTCACAAGGTGCGAAGAGACACTCATATGTGTGATCATGCCTTCTGAGTGTGTGTTTCATAATGCCCTGATTTTCAGATATGGGTCAAAGACATGAGGAGATATATATTAGTGATTTCAATCAGGAGAGACTTCATTTTGTTTAAAGAGCATTTATTGACACGTCATATGATAAATGTTAAGTCTTTGGCGATTAGACCCCGATCCTGAAATCGTATATCTAAAGGGGGAAATGCAGCCGTGAGCATATAGGGAACCCCCCTCGCCAAAATGCGAGGGAGCGAGGGAGGGTGCACCGGTTCCGGCGCTGTTGTTATTAGAATCTGGTGCTAGCTGCTCTAACGGATATAAGAAGAAGATGTTTCTACAATAATGTGGAGGAGAGTCCTCTCCAGTCAGACTGAGAGGCTGATAACCACAGCTTAGTGAGGTAAAGGACTCTGAGTGTTTAGATAGTTCACTTTAGTCTAAGTTATCTCAGTGGGTCTCAAACGTTTTGATCACAATTTATGTAAACACATATTTCCAAGGCACTCCTTTATAATTATTGAGATAAACAGGTTTGAAATCATTCCAATGTATACTATAGGACAGTAACCAAAAATATCCTTTAACACTGGAAAGATAAAACAAATGCATAAATAAATAAATGTTAAGGTAAAATAAGATATGAATGAACAACATAAATAAAATAAGTTACATTCATTTGTTATTGGCTATGGTAGGTTATTGGTTATGTTCACATACTTATTTGATTACATCCACTTGTCTAAGATGACAACAGAGACTTTCGACCCAAAACCAGCTGTTGACTTGTGGATGCAAGCAGCTAATCGCAGACTCAACCAGAGAGAAAGTAGTAGGCCTACATCATCAGCTACCATGTCTGACAGAGAGGAAGACAGTGAGGAGAACAGTCAGGAGGGAAGTGATGACAGCTTGTAGGATTACTGGTCGTGCTAATGTTGTCTTGTGTTCACCTCTGCATGTGTGTTCTGTGTTCACCTCTGCATGTGTGTTCAGTGCCGTGTGTCTGGCAAATAAAGTCAAGACCCCTCAAAAGTTACGGTTTATTTCATTTTAAGGATGAGCACCAAGCAACATCTCCAGGTGCTCCTTTGAGAACCAGGGCAAAAAAGTTATGTGCACCCCTGGTTATAGTTATAGACAACGCCCGTGATGAGCTGATTATATGCAGCTGCGGAGTGAATATATATACCCAGTCTTCCTGAAAGAACTTGCGCTGAGCTTCATATAAGTGTTTTTTCATCCAAATAAATCAGATGTGTTCTTAAATATGTTATATGCAACCATGATTTCCCTTAAAAATAAAACATTCCCTGCCAGCTGTCAGTAATCTTTAGTGTTTATAATAAAAAGTAAATGCATTTATTTAGAGATTTTGTTAAAAGTGTTCATATATTTTTGTTTAATGATGTCGCTATTGCATTCCTAAATTAAACTGACAGGCTAATCTTTCCTGTAAATTGCATAAAATTCAGATAAAATGCTTTTAAAAAAAATACTGTTCTGCTGCTTTGTTTTATACAGTGCCTGTAGCTCAGTCCGTCCGTTTTTGCATGTGTGTCAGTTTGTCTGCTGCTGTGAATATTATCAGTCAGCGGTTTGTGTCTGTGCAGGATTGAGTTCAGAGTTCACATCTCCTGCACCGCACTACACTAAGGACATGGACACTGATAGACTGACCGGCCTGTAATCCCCTCACACATGCAGGTTGTATTTTGAGGCTGCATACTTCAGGCTTGGCTTAAAATACAACGTCGGCTATTATCGGAACAATTTGGAGGACAATCCTGTAACCAGAGTCATTCAACTCTGAGATTAACCCACTTCTATCAGCAGCCACTGTATCCAAATGCAGTGTGGACTAAGAACTCTGACCTTAATAATGCTACAAGCACTATGCCACTTCTATGCAGTCACTAAAAAACCCTTATAAACGTATTATACTCATAGGAGAGTATCGGTCTGCAGCAAATCTTGCAAACTACTAAGCTTATAGTTTTTGTGCAAATGTATAGCTGTATTCTCAAGGACCTCTTGTTGTTGTGGTTATATACATTTTTGAATCAAGCTTTGTTATTGATTGTTTTATACCGTTATTGATTGATGACTCCTCACTACACTTAAAGGGCCGGTAAAAGACTCAAGTGATCAACAGCTGCTTCTGCATAATGACACTTCTAGCATTTCCTCAGGCCAAACGGTCAGGCCTAAAATCTCAAATCCATAGAGAGGTTCTGACTTATTTTGAACTGAAGCATGTGCAGTTTAATTATATACCAAACATGTTATGATCAACTAAAGTAAAGCCAATACAAGATAAATACATCCAGTTGTTGTTATCTCTGCTGCTGCCATTGTGTCTTTAAGGGAGCCGGGAGTCACAATAAAGTGAGATTCATCTCTTCATTGTTTTGAAAGGCAGAGGAAGACACATGCACCTGGTAGAGATTTGCACTGACTTTTTGTCATTTGTCAACACTTTTATGCAACAATGACTGGCTAAAGTTCTGGGAAGGGACTGTTGCCTCACAGTTATCAAACATAGGTTGTGTCACTGTTTGATAACGCCTTATGTCGTCTGACACCCAAGGAACTGATGTGAGGGGCAGTGACAAGAAGGGACATGTTCTTCTGATAAAAATGATCCTGTCACAGTACAGAGTGTGTAATAGCTTAACAGGAATACCAGCAACCCTAAACAAATGTTGGTGAGTGCAGCGGATTGGTCCAAAAGCACAACTTGACTACTTGATCTATGAAAAATGCAAGTAATGATTTTATTTTGAGGTTTTCATGAAACGAAAAATGTATGTCAAGCATTTTTGTCACACCTTTTAATTTCTTTGTCACATAACTGATGTTCCTGCTGTATGACGGGTGAAGCCGGTGACATAACAGGCATAACTCCAGCAACAAACAGAGAGAATGCCTCTCAAAGACAAAATCCCATGGGTTAAACATTTTGTTCCTAATCAGTTAAATTAACCACCTCAGTCCCTGGTAGAAAACCACACACACACCAACACGGTGGTGCATTAACAATACTTATGTGAAATATCTACATTTTGTAAAGTTGGGTAGCCTACTTCTATTATTGCCTGGTACCTCACTAACTAAGACTGTAACAACAATGTTGTGAAATATATATATTTACCAGCGACGTGCAGTCAGGGGAGGCAGAGCCTGTCATACTCCAATGTAACGGAAAAACAACTAAAGAAAAACTAAATAGTAATAATAATAAAATGGCTCCACTGATCTGTGTTGTAAATGTGATTTATGTATGATTCCAATCGCTTTTTATAGTCAAAATCAGCAAATTTGCCGAGCTCCGCTACAACTACGGGTAGCGATGAGAAGTGAGGCAGGGACGAGCTCTGCCTCAAAAACTGGCTGGAGCGCGGGCACTAATTTAACGCGGGCACTTATTTTGTGAGCGCGCTCAAGCCAGTTACTGTGGGGTAAGGTGAGGCACAGATGAGCTCTGCCTCACCTCAGAATGCGTCACCCCACAGAAACTATCTGGAAAGCGGGCCCTAAGCGCATGCCTGCACCATCTCACTGTATGTCACCAATGTAATGTTTGTAGATCCCTCTATTACATTTATCCTCGCCATCCATGGTCTCTAAATAACTTATTTCACGTACATGATATTTAGGCTCCCTGGTCTCATCATACAACGGCAATGAAAAAAGCACCTGGAGAGGCAGCCATAACCTCTGCCGCACTGAAGGGGGCGCACGTGAGCCCACAGGTTCTTGTTGCTACTGTTATTCTACGCAGAGACGGTAGCAAACAACAAACTAGACTTTTGAAACTAGAGGAAGATAAGGAGGACTTTTACAAAAAAGTATTAGAGATTGTTGTCCAGAAGGATAGCATGGACTTCATCTTCAAGTGATCCCCTGTGCAGATAAGGGTCATTCCATTGCACAGCAGACAAAACTTGTGAAACAAATAATATCATATTATTATTAAACATGAATTACACTGAATAACTTCCTGAAATGAGACACCAATACACTTTTGAGTAGAAAACCCCCCAGCTCAGTGCCCCACCCCACCCCCACCTCGGACTCCCACACTGACCCGCCAACTGTTCAATACATTCCCGCATGCAGGTCAGAAAGGCTCCGGCCGCCGACACTGAAACTGTTAATTGCAGATTGTTTTGTAATCGGTTTCCAAAACGTCCAATCAGAACAGCTGGTCGGCGTCACATGACACATATTTTACGTAACCGTTTTTTCCCTCCTGCGACGTTCCATTGAGAATAATATGGACCTTCCAGGACTACATCATGAGCCAGCACTGTAGTCAGCCAGTACTTCCAGCAGCAGACGAGTGATCAGACATTGGTTAAGGACTTCTGAAACTGTTGGTCATGAGGACAGATAGTGAGAGTATGCTTCAGCTTGCAGCGGAGGCTTTCCAGTCGAAAAACTTCGACCTAGCTGCAGATATCTACGAGTGCCAACTAGCGGGTCTGAGAGATTCAGGGAGCCGGCGGCAGGAGCTGATGGTGAAGCGGGCTGACGCGCTCGCTTTCGGGGGCAAATTCTCCGAAGCTCTAGATATGTACCGACAAGCCTCGGAGACAGACAGACTGGGACCGGTTCACCTGAGCAACCTCATAGACTACCTGGCGAGTAATATCAGAAGGCAAGCCGGGGGGCACAGGACCCCGAGCAGGGCAGGTGAGGCAGGGGCGGAGGCGGGATGCCCGGGAGTCGGTGCTACAGGTTTCGAACAGTTCTCCTGCCGGATATGTCTGAGCTTTCTGTTCGAACCGGTGACTCTGCCGTGCGGACACTGCTTCTGCAAGAAGTGTCTGGAGAGGGAGAGGAAGGAGAAGGAGCGGCCGGGGGTCTGCAGAGAGTGCCGGGCCAGCACCGGGGAAGAGGAGGTCCAGAGTTACCGGGTCAACGTGGTGCTTAGCAACCTGCTGGCCAAGTGGTTCCCGACCCCGCACCAGGCCGGCCGGCTGCGGCGGGAGGGCAACGCGCTGTACGCCGAGAGGAGGCTGGAGGCAGCACTGGAGAAATACAACCAAGCCATAATGATAGGTAGGACAACCATTGACTTGTATTTTTGAAGAAAGTGTTACAAAGTGACGTTAATTAACAGAATATTTTCTGCTTCGTATGTGTCTTTGCTAAATAAGCTACTTTAACCTGTTTTTTAACTGTTTTCCTCAGAGTAGCCTACATTTTGCTACTGCGTATGTCATTATGCAAAAATATCTTTGCCTCTAACTTCATGTTTTTACTTTTACTCTTCAGTATTACACGTTGTTTTGTTACATGTAGAATGTCAGTTGACACACCATTGAGACATAACATCTCTGTTATAAAATGACTGTTTCATACGTGTGTTACTTACACAGTGTGTGAGTAGCTGCCTCTGCCACAGAGCCATGTGTTGGATAACACGGTTATGTAGGCTGGGCTAGTGGACCAAACATTGCGTAAGCACGTAACCCGCCCCCCTCAGCTCCCTCATTGTGTAACTACAAACAATGACTCAGGGAGATGTGGTCAAGGCTAATATTGCAGGTCAACAACACTAGGAACACAGCCCTACGGGGGTTTCATATTGGCAGAGGTAGTAATGACACAGGTGAACTGTGACCTACAGACGGGATTATGAGTACGGAAATACCCTTTAATAGACACAGATGTAATATATATTTTAGGATCAATACTCTGGAATAGAGCAGTCACCGCTCATGTTGATTGTGTAATTTTAAACATCAAAAATATATTTTTTTCTATAACCGGTTTTGCTGTTTAAGTGTTTATCAACCTAAATGAGACTTACTAAAGATAACCCACATACCTTGTGAACAATTTAATGTGCAGAAGAAAGCAAAGCATGCATCTACCTAGAGATTTGCATACTCACTCTTTGACAGGTGTAGTTGGTTAGAGATAAACAGTTCCTTTATGAAACTGGAAAAGGTGAAAGGTCCCTTCTAAAGGCTTGTTTGGTAGAGATGGTGGCCCATGCATTGGAGCTCATTCCCCACTGCAGGTGACCTGGGTTTGAATCCAACCTAAGGGCAATTTAACTTCCAGCTGGTGCTGCAGCGGAGATGCTCAGACACCAACAATGCTGCGTAGTTAATCTGCGTAGCTCCCAAAGGCATAGAATCAGATTGTTCTGGTATGTGTCCAGAATCTTAATTTGCACCAACATGCTATTAAAAGTGATCCTGTGTGTTTGGGAAAGCTGATAAATAATGAGTCACACAGAGTGATATAACTGGCTTCAAACTGCAATGACTCGCAGAATTGTCCTTTGAATCTGGATGGCTGCTCCATTAACTGCGTCACTCCGACTCATTTGTGGTTATAACTAAAGGCAAAGGAACACTTGCTTCACTAAAGAAGGTGCAACCCTAATCAACTTGCTAGTACTTGCAGAATCATTGCCTATATTATTCTTTCATAATACATATAGGAAATTAAGTATAAAGATGTGTCGATATTTAGTGAAAATATATACTTTTTTGGTTGTCTGCATGATTCAATTTATAACTGGTGCATTTCTTATTTTATGTTACATTTATATTTTAGAGTTCATTTTAAAGTTGGATCTGGATTAATAATTGTTCTTCTAACCAATTTTTACAAGGGAAAATAAACTATTTTAACCGTGTAAAATAATCTGCTCCCATCACACATTTCTGTTTTTCTTTCATGGTGTAAAATGCATCCTCTGATTCCCACATGCTGCGCATTTGCATAGTCTTTCTAGTTATGAAACCTAACATGTGGGTGACCTTGATATTGCTGCATGGTTTTGTAAGGCAGCACTTTTCTTTCATAACCTGTTTTATAACGTGGAAACTGATCAATTCAAACATTCTTCCTTTCATGTAACTCTGATTCTTATATCACCAGCGACATCAGCTTTGTAGTAGGGCTGCTCGATTATGGCAAAAATCATAATCTCGATTATTTGGGTCAATAATTGATATCACGATTATTAAAAACGATTATCCATTTACTTTGAAAACATCCATTGATTGAAAAAAAAAAAATGGAACAGTATGTTTTTAACAGTTGATTACCCTGAACTTTAAGTATAATTCAACTGAAAAACCAATAAAAAAATAATCGTTTAATTTCGATTATGTTGTTTTCATAATCGTTGCAAGCCAAAATCGTAATTGCGATTAAAATACGATGAATTGAGCAGCCCTACTTTGTAGGCCATTAGAACATAAGGATGTGGTAGATGAGGCCATGCTTTCTTTTCTTTTTTTATTGAAACAGTTGCCTCAGTATTGGGGTCACTAAACTGACTTGGTATGTCATGGTTTTAAGCTGATAGAAAGAGTTCTTAAACCAAAAATAATTGACTAGTTCATTGACAGAATACAGATTTACACTATATTAATATTATATCAACTATTTCAATAGTATACAAAGCAAAAATGCCCAAACTTTAAATGTGGAAATATACTGTATCTCTCAGTTCTAAACTGTAAATGGAGCATCAAAAGCAATGTAAAGACCTGCATGGACTCTTTAATAATGACACATATATTTCAGAACATACAGTTGCAGTTGTGATGGATTCTTTTAGGGCGGCCTGGAAGTTAGCACAGCAGGGGCTCCCGCCACAAAAGGCCAATGGGTTTTTCGCCTAAGTTAAAGGCGGACTCATGTTCGGCGTGATGCCGTTTAGTCACTTGTTAGCAACCTCTTTTCTTATGACACATAGCAGCTTCAGACATTGCCCAGTGGGGAATTTACCGACATATTCTGTCATAGAAACATTTAAAAAATCTCTTAAGCTTGTTTCAACATAGCTTTTTTCCCAGGAACCTAACCAAAAACTCAACATTTAAAAACGTTGACTTTAAGACGAGGGAAGAGGTCAAATGCAAACTTATTTCCAGGTTTAGACTCATTCCTGCTCCACTCTATTGCATATGATGTTTCTCCTGACTGGTTTAGTCTTGTGCAGCCACATGGCATGCCAATTATTTGGCCACAGCTAGGCGTCATGCGTTCATTGTGGTGACTCTTTTGTGCCAGGGTGTTTGCCCCATCGGAAGGCCGGTAGTCCTAAAATGCTAACTAATTCCTGCACCACTCTATTCTCTTGTAACAATCTACCTATGGTTACTAACTGTCCCTTCTCTTCTCCACAGCACCCATGGACCACATACTGTTCAGTAACCGCTCCCAGATCCACTCCAGTCTGAGACACCATGAAAAGGCTCTGAGAGACGCAGAGACGACCTGCAGACTCAGGCCTCACTGGTCCAAGGTACGGCCCACAGATTGATCTGCATTATTAAACGGGTTTATGTTAGTGAAATGCAAACCGCTCTTGCGTGTGGTTGGATAAGTGATGTGTGTTCCTCCCTCCTGCAGGGTCATATCCGTAAGGCGCAGGCTCTGGTGTCTCTGGGCAGGACGGAGGAGGCTCTGAGGGAGAACCTGCTGTGTCTGTCCATAGAGCCCGACTGCAGACTGGCCAAGACCGAGGCTCACAAGGTGAGCACAACATTATAGAGCACACCTACAGATGCATATCAATTCAAAACATATGTATTCCATCTTTCATTCATCATGTCATGTATGTCAAACATTTCCTATTATATTTATTATAGATTATATTTATTTTTCACTGATGAGAATAACGTAAAAAAATAGTTTTATTTAAAAGAAAAATGTACACCTTTTCGTTAATTTGAAGGACCCCACAGTCATATTCAGTGTCAAACATTTGTCTTTGTTTTGTGTAGTATTTTTGAAAGGAGAACATGACATACTGCATCAGCAAAGAGTATATATTATAATATTGTTTTAAATGTCAGCAGAATAATCACATCACTGTTTATTGTCTTCTCTCAGCTCCTCAGTGATCTCCTGGCTCCGGTTACAGATCAGGTCCCTGAACACATCTCCGACTACACCAACATACTTTCTTTAAGAGCTCACATCAAGAACAGCATCACCACGCCCTCCCAGGTAAGAGCTGCTCCACCTCCAGCTGGCAGCAGTTATATAAACAAAAACACTGAGGGGACGTGAGGATTCATTATCTTCTCCTTCCATCTGTCTCTTAGATGTTCAATCCCAGCCTCATGTCTCTGGCACCTGAGAGATCAGACGTTGGTGACGGCAAAGGTCAGATGAAGCCTGAAGTCAGGAGTCCGGACCACAGTTTCCACCTTAAAAGAAAATGGAGCAGCACAGAGGAGAAGGGAGGACAGGAGGGAAGAGGAGATCACAAGAGAGCAAAATCTGGTGAGCTTCTTAGTTTGTGCACACGCACGAATGCACTCTCTCAAGCAGCAGCAAGTGTGTCTTATCTTGTATGTGATCATGTCTCCATTTAGAGCCAGCAGAAGTTAAGAATCTCATGAGTTCTGCAGATGTCTTGGACCCGACAGATCTGGAGTGTTCTCTTTGTATGAGGTGAGATGTACAGCTTGTAAATCCTTATAGACACCCACCATGCAGCACATCTGAATACTTGATTAATCACATGGGACATTGGGTTTCATGACAGTCGCTCCATTCAAGAATACAATGAAGTAATACTCTTGTCTCTATGGTTTTGACTAATTGTATTTTCCGTGTGTTTTCCACCCAGACTTTTCTACGAGCCGGTGACGACGTCGTGCGGTCACACGTTCTGTCTTCGCTGTCTGGAGCGATGTATGGACCACAACCCAAAGTGTCCGCTCTGTAAAGAGGAGCTCTCAGAGGTAATATTCCCCTTCTAACAATGTTATTTAAACTTGATCCAGTATATTAGCACTAAAACCATGTCAACATCATAACTCAGAGTATCTATTTTCCCCAATGTAAACCATTGACTTCACTGTAGAACTCATTGGGGTTATTTGATATGAGGTAGCATGGTGCCAGAGATTGCTATGGAACTAAAACACTTTGCAATGACATGAATGTAACTGATAGTGGAAATGCCATATGTTCAAAAGGACTTTGGTGCCCAAACTGTGTTTCATTTGGATCAGTTATGTCATGGCTGTTACCTAACCGCTCAATATGTCATTTTCTGGGCCTCAAACACAAACGGATTATGTCACGAGGCAAAATGAAAAGCAAGCCTCTACATGAATATTGTTGCAAAATGTTTCTGCAACGATAAACACGTTTCTAAGAGCCTTTCTGTCTGTGTCTCTCCCCAGTTCCTGGTCCAGAGGCAGTACTGTAAGACAGTGCTAATTGAGAAGCTCATCTTGAGGTATTTCCCCTCAGAGCTCAAAGAGAGACAGAAAATCCACCAGGACGAGATGGCAGAGCTCTCCAAGTAAGTGTGTGTCCTCTTCTGCTCTCCAGTGTCTTATCCTCAGGTTTTATTTGACTGTTATCACAGATTATGGTTCACAGTGGACTGACATAGCTCTGTGAATATCATGTACTGTTGTTTGACCCACTGACCTACAATGTGACACACTGATCTCTCAGCGTGCGTCACCTCAGGCCTCCAGTGTCCCCTTACTGAAGCCAATGATTCTCTTCTCATATTTAGCCAGTATTTTGTTTTTTTGCTTTTTACATGTCGCCTTAAGATTAGTTTTGAGGAATGATGCAACAAAGTTTGAGCAGTTGTTCCTAGATTGAGGACATATTACGCTCATTTTCAGGTTCATATTAGTAGTGTCTCTAGTGGGACATGTCTACACGCTTTAATGTTCAAAAAGCTCTTTTCTCATACTGCCTGTGCTGCAGCACCTCTTTTCACCCTCTGTCTGTATATATACATGTTCTTGTACCTGCTGTGCACCCCGTTAAACCTTTGGTCCTTTCTTCTTGTCTCTCCACAGTCTGAACAAGAACGTGCCTATATTTGTGTGCACCATGGCCTTCCCCACTGTGCCGTGCCCTCTCCATATCTTCGAGCCCTGCTACAGACTGATGATCCGCCGCTGCATCGAGGCGGGAACCAACTGCTTTGGCATGTGTCTGGGAAACGACCTCAAAGGGTCAGTGTTGGAAACTACCTCTGTGTAATTGGTTATTACGTCTCTAACACACATCTATAAAGGTGTGTATCCATACTGATGATGACATTTCTCCATCTGCCTCCAGGTTTGCAGACTACGGGTGCTTGTTGGAGATTCGGGATGTGCAGTTCTTCTCCGACGGCCGCTCAGTTGTGGACACCATCGGCATGCGGAGGTTTAAAGTCATCCAGCACCGCGAGAGGGACGGATACAACACAGCTGATATAGAGTACCTGGAGGATGTAAAGGTATGAAGGGGAAAGGGAGAGGATTGAGAAGTAAAGCTTGATAGATAATTACCAGAATAGGTTCATCTAACTCAAATGGTGTGTGTGTGTGTGTGTAGGTGGAGGGCGTGGCGGAGCGTGAGCTGCAGTCTCTACACGACTCGGTGTACGACCAGGCCCTGGTGTGGGTCAACTCCCTGAAGAAGGAGCAGAGGGAACGCATTGAAGGTCACTTTGGACCCATGCCTCAGAAAGACTCTAAACTTCAGGTAAACACAAACACAATTGACAAAGGCACAACGAAAATATTCATACTTCTTTCAAATGTGTCTTTCTATCAAAATGAACCACTGAAACCATGTTTTGGACTTATACTATTAAATCCAATAATAGTATGACACTATACTATTAAATCCAATAATAGTATGATACTATAATGTTAAATCCAATAATAGTATGACACTATACTATTAAATCCAATAATAGTATGACACTATACTATTAAATCCAATAATAGTATGATACTATACTATTAAATCCAATAATAGTATGATACTATACTATTAAATCCAATAATAGTATGACACTATACTATTAAATCCAATAATAGTATGACACTATACTATTAAATCCAATAATAGTATGATACTATAATATTAAATCCAATAATAGTATGACACTATACTATTAAATCCAATAATAGTATGATACTATACTATCAAATCTAATAATGTTACTATACGATCCGATGCTATATGATTCGATAATATACAATACGATAATTGATATGAGATAAAACCTTCAACAGCTCAATTGACAGATCAGTTTTTATTTTCCTAGCTCTATTTGCACATCAACAAGGACAAATATTTGTGTCCAAACACGGAAACAGACATTCATCAAAACACCACAATCCCTGAAGGCAATATCCTCAATGGCCTTTTAACATACATTTGTTCTGGGATTAAACTTGTGTTTCATCTATAAAATCATAGGGCCCTGTTAAAGCAACCATTATTCTCATGAGACCCAAATTGAAACACACCTCCTAATATTTCTCCTTTCTTTGTCTCTCCTCCTCCTTCAGGACAGCCCTAACGGCCCCCTGTGGTGCTGGTGGCTGCTAGCAGTTCTTCCGTTGGAGGGCCGAGCCCAGCTTCCCTTCCTGGCCCTCACCTCTCTGAAGGATCGCCTCAGTGGCATCCGCAAGGTGCTTCTGTTCATGGCTCACAGCAGGCTCCGGTGACATGTTCCATACTCAGCGTTCACCATGCCTGGATAATGCAGTAACCCCCCACCCCTGCAAACAAAACCCCCTCCTCACCGTCCTGCAGTGGACCTGCTGTTCTTCCTCTTTTTGGATGCACATAAAACTGTTGCACCTTCCTTGATGTAGCGCCATGGACTCATCTTCACGTCAAAGATTGTTGATTGTTATACATCGATATCTTCCACTCGTGACAGCTATGTTCAGACAGGACGGGGAACATCCAAAACGACTGATTCAAAAACAATCTTCAACCTCCATTGTTACATTTCTTGTCGCTGTTACAATACGCACATAATATAGTGATACGTTTTTGTCCGACAGACAACAAACTGTGGTGCTCATATGTGTTTTTTCTCCAATGTTGCCTTTTTGGCCTTCCTCCATTTTGTAAGTCTTATGCTCTTCCTCTTGTGTAAATATTGTTGAAAACAACAAACTTTTCAGACTATGATTCCTCCTGTCTGAACATAGCTTCAAAGCAAACTCCTGAGAAAAGACTTACACATTCATGCAAGGGGCGAATGTACATTCAAATTCTGCAAGACACCAAGCATGAATTTGCCTTTTTGTGTAAATAAACTCACTTCTGTTGCATCATAATGCTAATTCAGACATAATTCATCGGTATGCCCATTTCTAATTGAATACATCTGCAGTTAAACCAATGTGTTTCCCTTTTTACTATAACTTTAAATCTTTTTTTGGGCTGCTATTCTGTCTTCCCTCCGTCATTCTGATCCCTGCCTAACTCCATCTAATGCAGCTGAGTAACATTTTGACAAAGGCGTGCTTTGAGGCATTAGGCGCGTTCACACCACAGTACTTTTCCCACTTTAGTTCCGATATAGTTCAGAAATGTTGCGTTCACACCAAAAAGAGCTGGAACTAAAATGATCATTCATCAGAACTTTTTTACCCCCTTTTCCGTCCCTGCTAGAGAGCAGGTACTTTCGTGGGAGAAAAAGGTTCCTATGTCTGATTGGCTGGGCGGATTGCAAACCACGCCCTGTAAAACTCCCCAAAAAGTTTTGTGAAGCCGCCATTTTATTATCCTCGCATTAGCATTAGCATTAGCCCAGCGCAGAAACGCAGAGAGACTAACTCATGGCAACACAAAAGAAAACATGGGAGCGGTTCATGAGAACTAAAGAGTTCTCATGAACTAAGTTCTGATTAACCTTTGTGGGAAAAGTACTGCGGTGTGAAAGCGTATTGTGTTTTATTTATCAATTTGTGTCTTATTTGTCATCATTATTTATTTGGCGTTATTTATGCATGTAGTGACATTGTTTACATTTGAGAGAAAGGGATGTTGAGCTGCTTATTTTCCAAAGGCTTTGAAAAAAGATATAAACATTTCACCCCATAAATCATCGATAATACCCAGGTATCTGTGGGGTGTAATTACTAAAACACTATTATACAACCAAACAACATGGCTGCCATTAAAGCACTGACCAGTAAGCTGTAGTTGGGGGAGGACTCTCTTCCAGGCCTCACCTTTTTAGATCACTGGTGACCAGTGTTGGGCAAGTTACTTTTAAAAAGTAATAGTTATAGTTACTGCTCTCAAAAAAGTAACTAGTTATTTTATTAGTTACTAAATTGTAAAAGTAACTAGTAACAAGTTACTTTACTTTAAAAATAATAACAATAAAAATACAAGTTTTTGTGTTGTTCTGTGGCACAGTAAGAGAAAAGACAACTCCCCATCATTGTAGCAATTATCATTATGAAATAGTGGAACAATAAAACACAAAAGTGCGATTTAAAAAGACTTGGCTGTTTAGATGGGTCATTGCCGGTGGTTGAGACGGTGGGGTCTTTGGCGACTAGTTGTTTAGCCCCATGTACATTACTTAGGTGCTTCAGGAGATTGGCATTTCTGTTTTTCGATGTGGACAATGCTTTCTGTCCTGCACACAGTTCACATTTTACCGTAATATTTGTTGTGTCCTTTATCCCCACAAATTGAAAATAGTGGTTATATTTCCAAGTTGCAAATGCGCTGCTGCTCTCGCTGATACTTTCCCCATAAGGCAAGACCCGCCCAACTCTGTCTCTGATTGGCTTACCCTGAAACGTTACCCCGCGTGAACCAATCATCACTCCTCTCTGGTTACTTTCACTTTTCCATGGTACTGTGAGAAAACATCGCTGTATTCGCCTGTAAATTACATCCGCAGGGAGATTCGGTTCAGTTCCATCACATAATGTAACGCAGTAACACACCCATTTAAATTACAGTAACTATAACGGCGTTACTTAATGGGAATAAGTAACTAGTAACTTTGTAACGCGTTAGTCCCAACACTGCTGGTGACACAATCCCCCCACAATCTGAGACATCTCAAATGTTGATTTATTTGAATTCCCTCTTTATAGCAGAGACACAGTATTGCAGAGAGCAACACCTTGATTTTTGATTCCATTATGTCCTACATTTATTTATTCTGACTTATTTTGCACTTCCACTTTGAGTAAGGGAAAGAAATGCCTCAACATTTGGATTACCACATAATGAAGTGTATTCTTTTGTGTGGTGAGCATCATGTAGCAGGCCAACTATACTGCAAAAGAGCTCTGATTTGATGACTTTGATTGATGTGTGCTATGAGTAAAGGCCAGTGCCTTCTGTCCACAATGAGAAAGAAGTGTGGAACCTTTTTGTATTAAGTACTACATACCATTTGAAGGTGTATTTCCCATTGTTATTGGCATGTATGCATTAAAAGCATGACTTCCACAGTATGGGAATACAATAACATGTGAAAAGGATGTGGTATGAAAACATATTGAGGCCTTGCTGCTGTCTGTGACATGACTGTTTCTACATGGCTAAAGCTAATCTCTGGAAGAATGCAAGAGATTGATGAGCTTTGCCTTCAAATCTTTGATTTTGTAAACATGTGTTTGATGTTTCTATCAATAGGTTTTTTTTTGTTTTATAATTGTGTAAATTGTTGTGTAAGCGCACAGAGATTATCAGTCAATTCATCCACATTTATAATTTTCTATTACCATGGCCATGTAATGCTAATAAATGGATCAACGGATTAAGTGTATACACAATATTTTAATATTTTAGCCATGGATATTTTGTATTTAATTGTCAAATGTTGCAATATTACACAATCAAAACTCAATGCTGAATTATAGTTTGTGGAGTATCTCTTGGGTCATGAATCATGATACAATAAACTATAATGATATTATCCGACTGAACAAAACGTGCATTTATCAAACAGGTTCGTTTTCCACTGACCTTATTTCGAGCTATTTTCCAAAATCCTATGGAGAAATCCCATTGCTTTGTTGTGGAGGGAAACCGAGCGCAGCTTACTTCCGGGTTTTAGGACGCGTCACTGCAACAGTTGATGCGATTTGATTGGATTGTGAGGCAAGGGAAGCCAGCCACCTCTGGCTTCCCTTGGCATGGCCCTGACTAATCACAGGTTGCCAGGGGCATGACGTGAGCCTTGTCTGATTGGTCAATCCCTCCATTTTCTTTCACCAAGGGAAGCCAATTTCGGCTGGCCTCCTCTCGCAATAGAGAGTGCAATCAACTGTTTCACCATAACATCTAGAGGGGCGCTGTTTCACTCTTTGTAAAATACTCAATGAGAATGGGGGAGAGATGGGCCGGCAGCAACACACAACAAAGAATTTCCGAAAATAAACGAAGTGTTTTTATTTATTTATTAAAATTATAACTACAATCCGAAAAAACAGGGGAAGCCTGGCTTCCCTTGGCCTCCAGGAGAAAACGCCACTGCGTTTAATCACAGCAGCATTTATTTTAGACAGTATCTGCTGGGTCCGCATCAGGGGCCTCATTTATAACGCCGTGCGTAGGATTCACGTGGGAAGGTTGCTTACGTAGTAGAAATCCAAAAAATAGGTACAGAAATGTTCCGACATTTTCCGATTCACCAAACATTGCGCACCGGCGAGGAAAGTGCGTACAGCACTTCCTACGCCGGTTTCCCTTTATAAATCACAACCGACTCGAAATGCGGTGCAGCTTTTGCGGGCTTCACGTAACGCCCATATTTGCCTATAAATAGTCAAAGAAACGCCCATTCATTCATTCATTTTGACTGACTTTATGAAGAAGATAGCAGGAAATGACGACAGAACAGCTAAAAAAGACATCTCACACCGTGTTAGATTTTGGTTATTTTGGGGAGGTCGAGATCAATTTACCTCTAACAATATGATTTATCATATATATATATATGTTCCCATCGGCGAAAACACGTGGGTTTGCTGTCCTGGCTCCAAGATGGTGGAATGAGCTCCCCATTGACATCAGGACGGCAGATAGCTTGCACATCTTCCGGCGCAAACTGAAAACTCATCTCTTTCGACTCCACTTCGAGCGTTAGAACTATTAACGAAGCACTTTTATACTAATAAAGGACTGGCTTACCTAAAGCCAGTTGAGTAGCACTTGGAATGTTTGGCTCTATGAAACCTGATGTACTTATATGATTCTGTTTTTTTCAAGGTTGTGTCTTCCTGGTCGAATGTACTTATTGTAAGTCGCTTTGGATAAAAGCGTCAGCTAAATGTAATGTAATGTAATGTAATCATATTGTTTGGTGGATGCCGTTTGAACCAGAGTAGCAGCATGGAGGTCGGATCGTCACCAAAATAAATAAATAAATGGCCCGAAAAATGTTAATGACAAAAACAATACACATAGCTAGCCTTCCTCAGGCAGTGTGTTTGTACCGGGGACAGGAGACACCCCCTTGATGAGAAACTGTAAGAAGTGAACGGGGAACCCCCCCGGTGTGGAGTCATGACGACTGGATCTAAATTTAGTTTTTGTATTTGGTGGTTTGTGTTCCAGCTGTGCGCAGCGTCTCCACTGCAGCCTTTGTGTCTCCCCCCCCCCCCCCCCCCCGCAGCAACCCTATATCCACCAGTTAAAGGAAATACAACTAATGTGTTGTGTTCAGTGGCGACTGGTCATTAGGGGCAGGTGGGGCACAGCCCCACCTAGTGTCAGCAGAAAGTATTAAAAGTAATGATTACAAAAAAATGCAAAAAATAAATTAAAAAATATATAAAATATATTTTAAGATCATGTTTAATCATCTGATTCGTCTGTACATTGCTGTTTTAGTCTGTGTTCTTCTAATTAGTGTCTACAGTGTGTGCCTATTGAGCTGTTTTGAGCCATGTGGGACAAAACCCGATCCTGCCCCTCCCTCTCCCTGTTTAAGGCAATGGTGACTGTAAAAACTACACTGCGCATGCTCAGAGTATTGTCCTATTTAATGTGTGTGGCAAAAAAATAATGACCATAGGGGCATAGTGCTGCCATCCCCACCATACGTCATCTCACATCATTCAGAGCTGATTGGCTGTACAAGTACGTGTGCCGCGAAAAGTGTGGTGTGTGAAGAGGAGGAGAGAGAGCTGCAGTGAGGCGTCCTACAACCCGGAAATAAACTGCGCATGGCTTCCCTCCACAAAAAAGCAATGATATTTCTCCATAGGATTTTAGAAAATAGCTCCAAATAAGATCTGTGGGAAACAAACCTGTTAGATAAATGCACGTTTTGTTCAGCCGGATAATATCCACATGTCTACCCTACTTTTATAATTTTCGAATCATAAATCTATTGATTAGATCAGATTTATGATTTATAATTGATGACTTTTACAAAAAAGTAATAGAGATTTTTGTCCAGAAGGATAGGCAAATGGACTTCATCTTCATGTCAAGGTAAGACTGCAATTTGATTGAAAATGGGATCTTACTAAGAGAGAACAATTCAATATTTAAATGATACAATTACATTTTTTGGGTATCCTTTTGTTGAACTGTCTGTTTAAAATTAATTGAAGCATCAGACAAAAAAAGCTTTTGAAAATAATATTATATTTAGATTTAGGTCAAAATATAATATTTGTAAACCTGAAGAGTCAGAGCCTCACCAGCCATGAACCTCACTGCAGAAGCTTATATATAGACATCTAAGTTTTGTGTGCCCCACCACTTTTGTACATATAAAAACGCCACTGGTTGTGTTATATTAGCTGTACGATTTACCATATATGGTGTTCTTAGCTTCCATACCTCCTGTGTTTTACGAGCGACTTATCAAGTCTTGGCAAACGGCATAAAACATGATTAAACATGATAGTAGGCTATATAAAACCATGCTCGTATCTACAACCTATAGAAATGCAAAACGGCGTCAGTTTAGACGTAATACTGTCCTTCTGCTTACCGCATCATTTATGAGAAAACATTTCATAACATTAACACAACATATTCGAGGTGGTTTTCAATAACATATCCGTATTTATTTATTTCTCCAAGTTATGTTTTTGTGTGCACTGAGGAGTCGCAAACAGGCGTTTGTTTAATCATTTTAAGATTGGCTTTAATCAATGTTTGAAAATGAATTCTTCATATTTGATAAATGAGAGGTAACATTTTATTTATGGTATTATATTTCCACATATTTCTCTCCATTCTTCCTTCTGCCAACGGTGTCGCAGTTTCTCGTCTCTCCCGTTTTTGTGCTTAGTGCGTACGCATAGGTCAGAGTTTGTTTATATATACAGTCTATGGGAGGACCGCACGTTTTCCCGTCAAGTTAGTATTTTATAAATCGCAAACATTGCGTAGAAACTGGCGTATGCCATCTTTTGAGCGTATATCCCTTTATAAATGAGGCCCCAGGTCCGCATGAGCAGGCATAAGCTCCGCCCCCTCTTTTTTTTTTTTTAAAGCTTTATGCCCCGAATCAGCACTTTAGTAACAGGAAGTGAAATAGAGGGATATGAGGCATGGCTAGAATGGGTGATCTGTTGGTATTTTGAGCAAAACACTTCATAGACATGTTTTTTATACATTTTTATATATCTGAGACCTATGCTATTGCCTAAATATTGCATTATAGGTGACCTTTAAGAGAGAGTTTAATTCATAAATAGTAAAGAATCCATGATGCTCAAACTTGGCCAGAATGGGAAAAGGGTAAAAACATATCGGACAGATATTCAGAGACAAATGTACTTCCTGAAAGATGAGAAGGGAAATAAAATAAAATCATGCTATCCTCGTTTCTTATTTGTTACAATGTGTGAAAATCTGAAGAAAAGAAAAATAGCCAAAAACAATAAATGTAATCAGAATTAACAGAACGCCTCTTAATGTTTTGTCTGGGATTTTTCCATTCCAATAACAAAAGTCAAAGTGTGACACAAGATTAAGTTTGAGTTTGGATATGATACCTCTATGAACTATTTTAAATGTTTGCCTTAAATTGGATTTCTTCCATTTAACTAAATATATCCATACTGTATATAAACAGCAATGGCAACTTATGTATGCTCAAGTTTTCTGGGACAACCTTTTCCCTAAAAAACATCCTAAAATAAAAAAAGTATTTGAAAACCTGGATTAAGGCGGACACATTTGTGATTAGCATTATTATTAACATTACACCATTTAATGCTATTCTGTTTTGTACTCTGGTTACCTGAAATATAACATATCCAGACAGTTGAATTAAAGCACAGATTGACATTATTTTGAAATAAACTAGTTCAATTACTAATTAAACAAATGATCTGCCATAAGCAGCCTGTTGGCTTAGCTCAATTCATTACCTCCCTTAAACGACAACTTGTTGCATTTTTTTTTTTTTTTAAATCAACACGATAATCAGCCATTGAGTCTTACTACATTATTAACGTTAGCAATCCTGGTTAACTCAAATTAATAACAGCCGATTGTTACTGTTTTAAGTGCTTTTTAAATATAAAGAAAGGGGTGAATATTTCTGTCGATGATAAGCTTCCATATATTTATTCCATTATACTGATATGGCCTTCTTTTGGAATCAATGTAAGAAGAGGAGGTGCTCAAAATGGAACACAACGGGTTATAAGCTAGTTGGGACGTGAATACACTGGCATTGTTTGAATCCTAAACTTCAGGATGTTTTTATTTTCTAGTCTTGTTGTGGTCATTTAACATCTTGCCAAGGACAACAGTTGAAAATTAGCCTGCTGGCTAATACTGACT